GTCTCATCATTGTCTTCCTGTCACTTCCTGGCTCTTCTTGGCTTCCTGTCGCTTCCGGTCTCTTCTTCCCCGTGGCTTTGCTTGTCTCTGAATTGTGCTCTGCTCCTGTGAGATCTGTGTGGAGGTGTCTGCTCCTTTGGAACTGTTTTCTCAGTCTGTCTCTCTATATCTATCTTTTGGGGGTTCTGTTCCCCCAAGATGTGTAAGGGGCCACAGTCTCTCCAAGCCTTTTCTAGGACAGAAGGGTCCACCTCGAGGCCTATCAGTCAATCATTCAGTCTGGCTGTCCTCACCTCGCCTCTCGCCTCACACTCCTCCTCGAGTGCTTTCCCGCCCTTTCTGCCTCAAACGCAAATAAATATAGAAAGACGCCAGGGCGCATGCGCACCAAGCGCCACTCCAGCAAAGAAACAGCGGCCTCCGGGGAGATCACGAGAACTCACGCGCGAATTCACACTCTCAGCAGACCGGCTTGGCAACTAGTGATGTCACGAAGGTTTGGCCTCGCTTTATTGGTTGCTTTCAACCGGCATGCTCTTGCGGGAGTAGGTGGCCAAGCGTTGCCAAGCGCCAGGAGGCGCTAGGTAGAAGAGCTCCTGGACTCTGAAAACCCTATAGAAACTCATGTCGTCATGGCAACTCTGCCCTATCTAGTTGGATACCTGGGCTCTTTCTGCCGCTCTGATTGGACAGCTGTCGTGTTAATGCCTGTATCTGATTGGATGCCAAGGAATTTGAATCTTCCCTGCCTCTTAGCTTTTTTTCCTCTCCTAGCCGAGTTTGTTCCACAAGCACTTGCAACCTGGAGATGGAAAGTGACTTGAGTCGCCAGAAGGCGTGAGGGGTGTTAGACATAGAACCGGAACTTGGCTGGAGTCAGCGGAATAGATTGGCTCTCATACACAAGCTCCTTTTCCTCCCGCCAGAGGGCGCCACAGAGCGGCAGGCCATTGGGAGCCCCGGAGACAGGTGACGCCGGCAGCGATCCGCTCCTGATTGGACTCCTCTTCCCCTGCAATAACAGTCATAAAGGAGCCTTGAAATTTATGTGTGCAGGAATTATGACTGTGTCCTCAAACCCTTAAATACGCCAAAGGCATTTGTCATTATTATCTTTCTCGACTCTGTAATCATGCCCAAATGTGCAAGCTATTATTAGAGTGGATGCCTAGTGCAGCTCGGACTTGTGCACTGAACACCTGTTGTTCTGCCTGACATCTGTTACCGCTGACTTTCTTTCTCATTAATTGACTTTTTTCAAAAGCAATTTTAGGTTCACAGAAAAAATTGAGTGAAAGGTACAGAGAGTTCCATATACTTCCTCGCGACTCCCTCCCCTGTTTCACCCATTATTAACATCTTGCATTAATGGGGTACATTTGTTCCAACTAATAAGCCAAGACTGCTACATTGTCATTAGCTAAAGTTTACATTAGGGTTCACTTTTCTTATATTATATTCTACGATGTACATGCGTTTTCAAGCTGTTAAAACTAAGACTTTTTTTAAAAACTAAGACTATTTTTAAGATAAGTTTTAGGTTCACAGCAAAACTGAGAGGAAGGTGCAGATTTTCTATACCTTTGCTGCTCCCCTCAACACGCAGCCTCCCCTAAGTTCGAGGACAAGTATAAGGACAGGTGTCCACCACTGCAGCATTACACGAAAGAGTTTCACTGTCCTAAAAATACCCCAGACAGCACCAATTCGTCTTTCCCTCCTCTCATGCCCTGCCGACCACTGCTGTTCTTCATTGTCTCCATAGTTTTGCCTTACCCAGAATGTCATATAGCTGGCATTATACCTTCTTCAGATTGGCTTCTTTCCCTCAGCATTCGCATTCAAGTCCCTCCCAGTCTTTTCCCCGCAGGGCCGCTCATTTCTCCTTATCACTCATTCTATCCACGTACTGCAGTTTCTTCACCCACTGAAGGACGTCTTGCTTGCTTCCAAGTTTGCCAATTATGACTGGAGTGGCTATGAATATTCGTATTCAGGTTTTTGCGTGGACATAAGTTTTCAACTCATTTGGGTAAATACCAGGGAGCACAATTACTGCGCCATATGGTAAGGGTGTGTTTAGTTTTGTGAGAAACTGCCAAGCTGTCTTCCCAAGTGGCTGTGTGATTCCTTGGTCCCACCGGCAGGGAGAAGAGTTCCCAGGGCTCCATGTCCTCACCAGCATTCAGTATTGTCAGTGTTTTGGATTTTGCCCATTGTATATGCCTATAGTCCCAGCATTCTGGGAGGCTGAGGCAGGAGGATCACAAGTTTGAGTTCCATCTGGGCAAATTAGGGAAACCCTGTCTCAAAATTAGAAAATAAGTGGGCCAGGGATTTAGCTCAGTGGCACTGTGCCTGCCTTCCAAGTGCAAGGTCCTGAGTTCGATCCCCCATACCACAAAAGAAAATAAATAAATAAGGCTGGGGATGTAGCTCAGTAGCAGAGCACTGTTGTTTTCAATACCCAGTGCTGCCAAAAAACCACTAATAATAATAGTAATAATGCACCAATTTAAGCGTACCACTCAATGTATTTTGATGCCATGTACAGTGGTGGGCACAATCAAGACAGGGGTCAGTACCATCATCTCAGAGAGTTCCCTGGTGCTGCTCCTGCTCAGCTCCCATTACCACTCTGCTACCGCCCCAGGCAACCTCCCATCCTTCTACTCCTTTAGACCAACACTTCCATCTTCAGACGACTGGCGTTCTGCCCCATGGTTTAGCCTCAGTTCTCCAGATGAGGTGGTTAGGGATACTGGTATGCACACCTCTGTGCTCCGGTGGGTGAGTCCTCAGGAGTTTGGTTTGCTGGTCGCTGTTTCTCCAGGTGGCGGTGGTGTGATGTCACCTCCCACCCAACACCCAGCCACACCCTAACCCTCAGATCCTGTGAGACCTTTAGGAAGGAGGGTCTGGCAGGTGCAATTGAGTTAAGGATCAAGAAACATGGTCACCCTGGAGTGAGACGGTGCCCAAACCCAAAGACAGCTGACCTCGTGAGTTGAAGGCAGAGGGGGACTGGAGACACACACAGGAGGCAGTGGGGAGAAGGCCAGCAGCCAGACAAGATGGAAGGATTCTCCCTCCCAACATTGGCCACGCCATGGCTTCAAACTTCCGCTTTCAAGCTGAGACAGAATGAATTTCTCTTCTTCTGAGCCAGCCAGTGTGCGGTCATTTTTCGGGGCAGTCCAAACACACACAGTGGCCATACCACCTCCCCTGGAAGGAGGTTTTATGGAAATGCTGCATGAGAATGGAGGTATGAAAAGGCCAAGTAGCCGAGGGCATGCTGTCCTGGGCGTGTGTCTGAGGGACAGTCCCCTGCCCGCGGCCGTGTAGTTCCGCCGGGATTGTTAGTGCAGGCTTGCCTGCCCGTGTTCCTGACTACAGACGTCCTGCCTTCGAGGAGATGTTACAGGGCTGATTGAGGAGTGGTTTCAGTTTTTTTTTAATGGAGCAGTAAAAGACATATTGCTATAATTTCTCTCAAAAATCCTCCCCCTCAGTTTGAACATTCATCCTACCGTTCTGGCGACGTTCTGAGGCAGCTCTGGAAGTCCTCCTTCCTGAGTATCTCTACACGCTGCAATAAAAAAACCGGTGAATGCTGCTGCTGAGCACCACCCAGCGGAAAGGCAGGCTTGTGAAAACATGACAACGCTGTGTCTGCATCCACCTGGTCCACCAGATCTGGCATCGTGGAATGGCTGGCTCTTCCCTCACATCAAAGTGACGGGGAAGGGAAACATTTTGAATCCATTCAGGCAGCCAGGTCAGAGCAACTAAAGACACTCAGGACAAAACACTTTCAGAACTGCCTCAGAAAGCGGCAAGAATGATGAGATCAATGTGTTCAAAGTGAGGGGGAGGATGTTAAGGGGGGATAATGGAGATGTGTCTTTTACTGTAATACATTTTTAAAAATTTAAACACCATATTGTAAAAATTACAACTTCATATTCACCTTACCAGCACAAGGGATGAGATCCTGAAGGCATCTGAGCCAATCACAAGCCAGATGGGGAGGGGAGGAGCCAGGGATGGCAGGGGCGGGCCAAGAGCATGCTTGCCAAAGGGACACAATGATTGGCCTCCAGGAGGCCAACCAAGGCAGGAGCAGGACCAATCAGAATCCTTCTCCTGAAAGACAGGGAGGAGCATCATTTTGTTTCCCTGGAAATTCTCTGCTGAGCGGGCAGGCACCACAGGTCCCATTCATCTGCAATAGCGCAGGCCCTGTCCATGTCCCACCCAGAGCCACCCACTCCAAGTGCTTCCTGGCTGTCAAGGCTGCTCCGCACGATGGGGACCGGAAATGACAGATATGACAGGTGCCCGTTTTCCCAGACGGCTCTGCAGCTCAGGGTCTCCGCAGAGCCTGTTCTGGCAGGAAGAGAAACGAGAACTCTCATGGGGGAGAAAAGATGAACACACACACGGGGAGGCCCTGTCCGGCTGTCTGCTTTAACGCCGCCGTGAGAGACAGGGCACAGTCTGTCCTCCGGAGCCAACTTGACAGCCCGTGCTGTCAAGCTCAGCATCTCCCCTGGCCCCACAAGAGCCCATCATTTAAGCTCTTCTAACTGGAATTCCAATATTTGGATTTTTAAAAATTTTTTTGCTTTGCTTTTTCAGCAGAAGCCCACAGCACCAGGCAGCCATTTAATTGCCTTGCAGTTCCTACCAGAGAGGGAAGGCAGGAAAGAGGAAAGCAGAAGGCAGTGGCCACAGCAGCAGGGCTGAGCCACGCCCGAAGCCCCCCATACCATCCCACTCTCCATATATCGGGGTCTCTCAATTCTATCTGTGGCTCTGTGCTGTATTTTGTGTCTTACAATCAACAATGGTCCTGGCAAATATAATTTTTAAAAACCAAGGCCCAGAGGGATGGATTGAGTTGACCAACCACGGAACAAGGCCCACATCTGTCTGATGCAGATCTGCCAGCTCTAACACATGGTCCCTGCCCCAGAGAGGACAGGAGTCCGGGGTGGTGAGACCCACGGAGTGTTTATTCTGGCGTTGTTAGCAGCAGCGGGGTGGGGGTAGGGGGTCGGCCAGACTCGGGGGCTGGTGAACACAGTAGGGGACACAGGTGTGTGTGTCTGGGGACACAGGGCTGGTCTGGTGACATTCACGGTGAGAACAAGAACTGGGAGACCAGGCTTTGGACAACAGTGAAGAGACAGAGACGGAGGGGAGGGGAAGGAGTCTCCCAGACATGCACGGTCCCTTGCCCCAAGGGGGAGCCCCAGGGAAGACAAGACAGACAGTGGAGGCTAAATGCCCCCCACCCTGAACCACGGCGCTGGGCTGCCCACTGCCCACCCACACGAGTCCAGGAAGGAGAGGCGGGCCCAGGGCAGCCCTGCACCAGCAGCTCGGACGCTATGGCTTCGAGGAGATGAGTTCTCGGTCCGGGCAGGAAAGGATGGGGTCCGGTCCTGAGGGGGCCTGGTCAGACCTCCGGCCCAGGCCAGACCTGCAAAGGAGCCAGAGGGGAGAGGCCAGTGACAGTGGAGAATGGGTCAGGATGCCCTGTCACTCCAGCAGCATCAAGGACAGACAGGAAATCCTGGGCCGGTGCCCCTCCTCCCTCAGACCCAGGGTTCCAGGCCTGGCCTCCTCCCTCTGGGCTTCTCACCCTCACTCTGAGTTCTCCTTCTCTGATAGTCCTTTGCCGCCTTTTGTGAAGCTGGTCAGAGTCTTCTCCTGAATGGGGAGATCCAGAAGGATCAGGAATGGCAGAGACAAAGCATCCACTTATAATCAACAGGAAAGGGCATCCATCCTGTTTCATTAGTTACAGTATTTTTTCACTCAGCTTTGAGAGGATGAGGCCAACTACATTTGAATCCCATTTTACACATGTGGAAACCAAGGCACAAAAAACAAGTCCTTGGAAATCATGAGGCCACTCACTACTGGGGTCAGGGAGCAGGTCCTCCCTGATGTGGAGGAGCTGAGAGTCTGCCCTGGGGGCTGGGCGGGGACAGAGAGCCAGGGGGAGGGAGCATTGGGTGGAGGCAGACCTCCAGAGCAGTAGGGAGCACCATGGGCTAAGCAGAAGCTTCCGGGAAGCTTCTGGAATGAATGAGTAAATCAGGACAAGAGTGAACAGCCAGGGGAGGGAGGGAGGAGAACTGGACTTTTCCCATCTCAAATCTGGGCTCTGTGGCTCTCTGTCCTGTCCCCATCAGCCCTGGGAAAGAGCTGGGTGGAACCGTGTGAAGGGGAGAGGAACTCACCCCAGCGTCAGGTCTGAGGGGGGCACAAACTCAGCCATCAAGACCAAGAACATCTTTTTTTGTTTGTTTTGTAACCAGGGATCGAACTTGGGACCTCGTGCTTTGAGGCAGGTGGTGGAACCACTGAGATAAATCCCCAGTCCAAGACAAAGAATATTTTAAGGTGATATTTTAAGAAGCCAAAATTAATGCAAAAAAAAAAATCCATGATGAATAAAATTCTCCAACTTATTTTTGTGGTACTAGAGATTAAAACCCAGGGCCTTTACAATGAACTATACCCTTATTATACCCTTATCTCTTCTTATTTTTAATTTTGAGACAGGGTCTCACTAAGTTGCCCAGGCTGGGCTTGAACTTGTGAGCCTCCTGTCTCAGCCTCCCGGAGTGCTGGGATCACAGGCCTGTGCCACCACACCTGGCTCAAAATACCCAGTTTTCAATAAAGTCCCACACCATGTCAGATGGACTGACAAAGACTGCGGTCCTCAATAGCATGTTTTGATGTATCTTTAAATGATTAATTTCCCCTGAGAATGCCAAAATATAAAAAATAGTGGAAAATGGAGAGCAAGAGTATTAAAACTAACATTACTTTATGCTTAAATTTATATATATAAATATACATAGGGCCTGGCATTTAGCTCAATGGTTCCAGTGCCTGGCTTGCAAGTGCAAGGTCCTGAGTTTGATCTCTGGTACAAAATAGATATATATTTACAAAAAGAATTTACTATACTTTTATTTCCTTTAATTGAAGCAAATTCATTAATATTTTCAAAAATGCATTTCTTTGCTTTTCTTGTTTCCCATTGACAAAATGGTCACGGTATACAAAGTAATCATCTTAAATGGCTTTAAAGTGGTCGTGACCCCAGGACCCAGGAGGCCTCTTGCTACCACACACTCCTGCTTCAGCCTCCCTGACCTCCAGGCCTCACCCTTGATACAGCACCCCCCCCCGCCCACTTCTTTCCCCTCCCCCTCTCCTCTCCCCCTCAGAGAGGCCCTCCGGAGTCCCGGGTGTACAGGGCAGCTCCAGGCCTAGGCCCTGGACCCCTCAAACCTGGGGGTGGGGTGTGACCACGTGATCTTTACACTAGGTCCTGCACCACGACATTCTCTGCTCTATTTTATCCTTCTCTTATTTACTGAAACTGTCTGGTTGGTCCCCATCCACTACAAGCCAATCCACTCATTTCCAGGGCTCAGTTCTGTCTGCCCCTTTATTTTTATTTATTTAGGGTGCCGGGGATCAAACTCGAGCCTGGACCTTGCACTTGCGAGGCAGGCCCAGAAACCACTGCGCCAACTCCCCCGCCCCCGCCCCTTCACTTTGACTTTAGCACCGAGCTGCCCGCCTCCGCCTCGCATCCCCCAGAGGGAGGCTCACCTCCACCAGCTGGTGCCAGTGCTCCACAGGCTTGCGCGGGTTGGCCAGCATCTCGGCCCAGTGCTCGCGGCCGTGGGGGTCGGCGGCCTCGGGGCCCACGCGGCACACGCCGATCACCTCATTGTGCCCGATGCTGGGGGGTGGGGCGGTGAGAACCGGCGAGAGGGGCTGCCCCCCCCCCGCCCGCCCGCCCGCCCCCCTCGGCTGCGCCCTCACCAATCGTAGTCCACCACGGCGATGCTGAGCCCCACGTTTTCCACGCTCTCGGGGGCCACGTCGAACACCAGCGCCTCGTTGTACGTGGGGTTCAGCGTGTTCTTCTTGATGGAGGTTTTGCGCTTCTTCAGACGCCGCCCCTCGCTGATCAGAGAGGCCTTTACGTAGGGGTCTGGGGCGGAATGAGGGGGACTGAAGGAGGCCTCCTCCCTCAGACCCGGGGTGCAGGCCCGGCCTCCCCCCTCAGACCCGGGGGTCCGGGCCGGCCTCCTCCTCTGCCTGTCCTCTCTGCGACTCACCTGAGAAGCCCGTGAGGTCCATCGCTTTGAGGTTAGAGGCTTTAATGATGGTCACGGTGAGGCGCCCGGCCGTGGGGAGGTAGCAGAGTGAAAAGTTGAGCTCCCCAAGATCTGCCTTTTCCTGCAGTGGGGAGGGCACTCAGAGACTCGGCCCGGCTGCTGTTCTCCCCCTGACCTAGGGCCCGTTCTATACCCATCCACTTAACGGTCTTGAGTCTGGGCCAAGGTTCTGTAGCTCCTCAGCCACAGCTGCCGAGACCGTCAAAGCCTACTTGTTCTGCAGGAAGACGTTAAGAGGGGAGAGGGGGGTGGGGAGAGAGAGAGAGAGCCAGGAGAAACAGGCGGAGAGGCCAGGACACTGAGAGATCCCATTGGAAAGGCAGATTCAGGATGGAGTTCTACACTGAGAGGGCAGTGACCCAGAGAGGGGACAGAGACAGAGGGGGACAGAGACCCCAGGCAAATGGGCCTCGGCTGGGGAAGGAATATGAAGACTCGGAGAGAGAGTGAGGCACCGGCGAGGCTTAGATCGGACCCCACACACTGTGAGTTGGAAAAACCGACAGGGACAGTGTGGGACAAGGAGCAAGCAGAAGAGAAGTGAGTCCAGGGAGCGGGGATCCACTCAGACCATGTGTGGCTCTGTGGAGTCAGCCACTTCCTCATGTCCCATAACCAGAGCCCTGCCACCAGCCTTGGGGCCTAGACCTGCAGCTCCTGAGGCCCTGCCAGCTGGAGGTCTGAGTGAGTGAATGAGTGAATGGGGTGATGAGAGGAGAAAATGAGAAGGCCCAGGCACAGGGGGACCAGCTGGACACAGAGAGGGCAAATGGGAAACTGAGGCTGGAGCAAGTCCCCTCCTGACATGCGGACCTGTCCCACGGCCTCCCAGCCCAGAATGCTGGGTAATCCCTGGGGCAAGATTGGGGGTAAGGAATTGGGGGTCTGGGGCTTGGGGCCCCCAGCAAGGAAGGCTGAGGAGGGGCTGGGGCAGGCATGGACAAGCAGGAGAGTGACCTGCCAGAAGGGGATTTATGACAAATGGGGACAAGGCCGCTGGGGAGCTGGAGCCGAAAGCCCTACCATCTGGCCACTCAAGGAATTGGGGGGAAGCCTGGGCACCCAAGCTTACAGGATTCGAGGCGAGGGGACCGTGGAGAACAGAAGGAAGAAGAGGAAAACGTCTCAAGGTCATAGGTTTGAAAAAATAGAAAGTTCAGAGGTCAGAGAGGGCTAGGGTTCAGGAAGACTAGAAATTGGGGCCAGGAGGTTGGAAAGTAGAGGAAAAAGGGAAAGCAAAGTGGTCAGAAATCCAAGGTCAGAGGCAACGCCACAAGGTCATCAGATGTCACTGCGTCAGATGGGGCTGAGCTGAGAGGCCGAGGGGTGACTAGGCTGGGCAGGGCAGGGCAGGGGTCCATCGCGGCTTGGCCGCTTGCAGTATAATCCAGGGGCCGGCCGGGAGGAGTTAGGGTCCCAGGGTGCAAACCTGGGCCCTGGGGGAGGGCAAGCAGAGGGGTCGAGGGAATGCAGGGCACTGACCGAGCCACCCTCCATGATGTCCCTCCAGAGCGGGCGGTCGGGGGGCTGCTCAGCCAGCTCCAGGAGGTTGTCTAGCACCACCTGGCCGATGAGGTCATGCCGCGAGAAGCGGTCAAAGTCATAGACGCTGAAGTGCAGCTTGCGCTGGGCCAGCTCAGCCAGGGGCACCGAGAACTGGAACGTCTCATTGAAGACGGGGTTCAGGGTCTTCCTGTGCACCTGTGGGGGTTCATGAAAGGAAGATAGACACGAGGCCCTTCCTGGCCCCTCCCAATCCCCAGAGCCTGGCTCCCAGCCCCTCCGCCCTCAGCCCCAGGAGTCTGGCCCTGGGTCCCCTGATATCCAGCCACTGGCGCCCCAGACCTTAGTCTGAAATTTCTTCTTGCGGTCGGGTAGCAGGTAGATCTTCACGTAGGGGTCTGAGAAGCCATTGGAGTCCTTGGCCGGGAGGTCCAAGGCCTGCAGGATCCGCACCACCAGCTGGTCGGAGCCGTACAGATACCTCAGGGCAAAGCTGATGCGGCCGCAGGGGGTCCCCGCCTCGCCTGAGCCTCCGCCGCCCCTCCGGCCACCTGGCCCAGTCCCCTGGTACAGCTCCGGCTTGATCTGGCCGATGAGTTTGGCCTTCTCCTCACCGCCGGGCAGAGGCAGGGGGAGGGCGGGTGGCCGCTCCTCACTGCTGGGGTCTGACTGTGTAGTCAGGGTCTGCTGCGTGAGGGGCCGAGGCAGGGCTGGGTACCTGGGTGCAGAGGGGAGACCCAGCCGGGGTCGGCGGCTCTGATCTCTGTCAGCCCGGGGGGCCGCTCATCCCCTCCTTGCTTCAGTGCACCTGGAACAGGCCACTTGTGCACTTTGAGCCTCAGTTTCCCCTCTGGCATCTGGAGAGGGGAGTTAGCCCCCTTTGTAAGATCCCTCCAGCCCAGACACATGGGGCTCCAGCTCCCAGGAGCCTCTGGATCTAGGACAACATAGCTCAGCCCCGTGCCCTCTTCAGCTCCCCACCCTCTCCCTGGCCTCTCCACCACCACCGCCCTGGTCCCAGCTGAGGCCATCCTTTCCTGTCCTGGCCTCTTGGCCTCTGGTCTCTCCTCCTGTCATGGCCACAGAGGGTCTTGCTATGCCAGAGTGGACCCTGCTTACAGCCCCCTGTGCTCTGCCGTCCACCCTGGCTGGGCTGAGGTCTGCAGCCACATCTCCCCAGTTTGCTTTGTGAAGCTTATTCTCCTGCCCCAGTGCCAGCTGTTCCTGGGAGGCCCTGCACCCTCCCCTCCAGCCTTTACTGGGCTGGTTCCTCGATCCCCACCTCCTGCCTGGCTGATTGTGGGTTTCAGCGGAGCCCCTTCACCTCCAGCCTCCAGGGTTGCAGGGGCCCTCCTGGGGACCCCCTGTAGTTCCCTGAGCTGCTTTTCTGCCTCCCTGCAACCCCCCGAGATGATGAGAGCCATGTGGGTGGAGTCTAGGGTCTTCCCAGCACCCTGGTACTAGGTGCTCAGGCTACAAGGTAGAAAGAGGGACGAGGAGGAGCAGGTCCCACTGCTGACCCTGGCTCAGACTGACGGGGATGCAGCTGTCCACGCGCTCGCCTCCCCCCACCTCCGTCTTCTCAGATCTGGAAGTCTGGGGCTCAGCCCGCCCGTGCTCCAGGATCCAGGCACCGATGCTCCCATCTCCTTCCCGCACAGAACTCAGAAGAGCCGCAGATGGGCAGAGATACAGGTGATGAGCACAAGTGCAGAGTGGAGCCCCAGCCCGTCGCCTCTCTCACCTGGTGCTGGGTGCGAGGCTTGTGACCTGGTGATGCGACTGGGCGCTGGGCAAGCCACCACCGCTGGGCGGCAGCAGCAGCAGCCCCGAGCCCGCCCCGGCCTCGGAGGGCAGCTCAGGCGACGTCTGGCTCGGTTTGACCCCGGCAGCCACCACAGCGGCGGCTGCAGCCTCGGGATAGGAGTCCATGTCCAAGTAGGAGGGCTCGGGGGGGTCGGAGCCCCCCAGGCCGCCCGGCTCCAGCAGCTCGGCGAAGGGCGGGTGCTGGGCGGCGTGGGCGTGGGCGTGGTGGCCGCCCAGCAGAGGGTGCCCGCCCAGGCCGGTGCCCAGGTGTCCGCCGCCCACCAGCCCTGCCAGCCCCACACCAGGGCCCAGGTCTTTGCGCAGGGGGCCGCCGCCCACCGCAGAGCCGCCCTTGTCCCTCCAGGGCACCCAGCACAACTTCCAGGACACGAAGAGGGAGACGCCGAGAAGGACAATGCCACAGAAGGTCACGATGACCGACAGCAGACTCACAGAAATGTCTGGAAAGAGTGAGGTCAGAGGTCAGGGGTCAGGGTGACTCTGGTGTCCCCGGAGGGCCAATCCCAGTCACTGGCATGGGTCCTTCTGGGCACTTTGCCTACAGGACCTGAACTCCACAGGCCCCTGGGGAGGCCTTTCCTATCACTGCTTTAAAGAGATTGTGAGGTGTGTCGGGTCCTACTCACGATAAACGACAGAGCTGATACTAAATCCAGCAGTCTGCTCCAGATTTTACTTTTTTAAATTTTTCTTTCAGTACCTGGGATTGAACCCAGGGCCTTCACACTGAGCCACACCCCTAGCCTTCTCTATTTTTTTATTTCAAGACAAGATCTCATGAAGTGACCAAATTGTCCAGGCTGGGCTGGAACTTATCCTGCCTCAGCCTCCCAGAGAGTTGGGATTACAGGCATGCACCACTGCACCCAGATTTTACTCCTAATCATTAGCCCACCGGACCTGTGTAAGAGGACACAGCATCCGAGGTAGACCAAAGCCCCCAGCATCATGCCCAGCAATATCGAAGGAAGTGTGGACACTGTTGAATGGGTCAGAACTCAAATCGAAGCTTGCTGCATGGTCTCCGGAACCCACCTTAACCACTCTGAGCCTCACAGTCTCTATTTTCCAAATGGGAACAAACAGTCCTTTCCTTAGGTTTAGTGGACCACAGAAGGCACATGGCGTGAAGGAGATAAAACAAGACACCTGACGACGTCTCAGTGACATAATCATTCCCATTTTCCATGGAAGAACACTAAGGTCAACAGATGCCACATCATCTGCCCAGGGTCCCACAGCTGGGGGTGACAGGCCTGACCTTCCTCATGGGGCTAATATAATGCCTCAGTCCTTCCCAATGAGGGGCAGTTCAAATGTGACTTGAGATTAGAATAATCAGCCTCACTGTGCTATCCTCACAACCAATGGCCCCCAAATGCCTGTGACATGTGGCTTGGCCTTGCAGTGAACCTCAAATGGCCCCCTTACTGCGGCCCAAGGCTGGGGCTCAGGCAGTGATTGGTACCAGGAGTGGGCTCCCAGAATGGTGTGCAAGGATGTACACATTTGTTTGGGACTTGGCTCTTGGTCCCAGGAAGGGAGAAGAGGGGGTGGCACAGGTGACCTAAGCCCTTTCCTCAGGTCAGGTCAGGCAGGATGCTGTGTTCAGAGACGTGCAGAGGAGGGGTGCCCCTGGGGCTGTATTGCTCGGTGGATGAGTTCAAGCTTCAGGACACTGTAACCTAGGGAGGATTTGTCCCATCTGATGAGAAAGCTGGGACTCTGAGATGAAGGAAGTGACCCAGCAGGGCTACTCGCCAGGCCCTGACTGAGGGACCCCGAGTCTCCTGCTGTCCCCTCTCTCCGGCTGCTCTTTCTATGCCTGCTGTGGGTTCCGGGCACCATGAGAACCAGAGCCAAGGGCTTCGCCAGCCTCCTGGACATGGGCAGCATTGAGGCGAGGGCTCACTGTGGGGGAAATAGACCAGACATTTGCCAGCTGGACCAGACCTGCTCAATGCACAGTGGGCCCTCTCTGCCCTGGCAAGGCCCCTGTTCCTGTCTGCACAGCCTGGTGCTGCTGGGGCCTGGAGAGATGGCGTGGTTGCCTGAGGAGGAGCCTGGCCCTCAGCCAGCACTTGGGAGGAGACCTGTCAGGACAGACAGACAGACAAGGGCTCAGGCCATGTGGCTTTCTGTCTGGTAAGGTTGCCTTGGTCACCTGGACTTCGGGCCATGCTGGGGAGTCCCTAGCAACACTTCGACTTAAGTCGGGGGCCACAGGCACACAGGAGGTCAGCCATGTCCACATGACTAGCCTCCAGACAGACCCTGGGCACGAAGACTTGGGTGGGCTTCTCTGGTTGGTGACATTCTGTATGTCTTGTCACATGTCATTGGTGGGAGAATTAAACATGTCACGTGACAGCGTGGACTCTCCTGCCCTCAGCCCCCTGTGCCTCTCTCCTTGTAGAGCTGTGCTGGGGGCTTCTGCAGTGATCAGTGGTAACTACAGCTGTGATGGCTTTTGGAGCTGAGTCCTTTCAGCAAAACATGGGACCAGGACCCCCACACTTCTGACCTAGGCTAGCCAGGCTCAAACTCTGGCTCCACTGCCTCCCTGAGGCTCTGAGTGAGCAATGGCCACCCCTGGCCTCCTTCCTCAGCATGGTCACCTGGCCAGTGCTCAGCCAGTGGCTGTAGCAAGGCCCTTCCAGCAACTGCTTCCTCCCCTCACAGTAGCACTCGTGACCGTTCCCAGTCTCAGCCCTTTCCTGGCTCTGTGACCTAGAGCAAGTCACTGCACACTTCTGAGCCTCCGTTTCCTCAGTAGAAAATAGGGATTATGTGTACCCCCCAGGGTTACTGCGAGTAGTCAGTGAAACATGCCCAGGGGCCTCGCCTGCTCCCGGGACTACAGTGCCTCAGTCCTGATGGCAGCTCAGCGGCCGTCATGTGTCCCACACTGTTGTAAGGGCTCTACTGGAGCTGTCTCTTTTGGATGCTGGGACTACAGGCACGCACTACTCCACTGAGGGGTTAGTCATTTTTATTACCCCTGTTTTCCAGTTGAGGAAACTGAAGTGGGCAAGAAGAGCCGCTAACCTAAAGCCTTCCAGGTGGTAGCAGGGGAGCTGGGACAGGGACCCAAAGTCTGACCCCAGAGCCTGAGCTTTGAATCACTGTGAAAGACACACGACATGCGGAGGAGACACTGGGTGGCCATCTCAGGGGGTGGCCCACAGGGCAAAACACAGAAGGCCAGGGGCTGAGTGGACAGACCGCAGCTCCTTCTCCCCGATCAGAGCTTTGGGGGACAGGGTAGCAGCAGGCAGGGTGGGGGCAAGACTCTAACTGGGATTGGCCCAAAGGGAAGGGAAAGCTGAACCGGCCTGGGGTTGGCTGACCTGCGTCGGGGCCCCGGGGGTAGCCGGGGATCCGGCTGTTGAACTCCTGGCATCTGTCTCTGGTGTCAGTGTCTCGGAACCTCGCACAGAGCTCTGAGACCAGGATGAGCGCTCGCCGGCAGAGGTCTTCCTCGTAGTCTCCAGACATGGTGGCCGCCTGGTCCTGTACTTGGGAGGCGCGGGGCGAGGTGCAGAAGGGAAGGGAATGGAGCAGGAGGGGAGCAGGGGTGTGGAGAGTGGGCAGAGGGAGGGAGAGAGAGAGAGAGAGAGAGAGAGAGAGAGAGAAGGATGGGCGAGGGAACAGAGGAGGGATGGACAGATCAGGGGCCGAAAGTAGAGCAAGAGGGACGAGGGACGAGGGGACAGATATTGGGGGGAGGGAAGGCAAGGAGCAAATCAGGAGCCGAGAGACACAAGGGCCAAGAGTGTGGGTGGGCAAGAAAAGAAGAACAGGGTTGGACACACCAACGGGGCAGAGATGGGCATGAGTGGACAGGGGGACAGAGAACGGGGACGCTGGGGAAGGCAGCAGAGGGACAGGCAGGAGGCACAGATAAAGGGACAGGCAGATAAGGAGTCAAAGGTTAGGGGCACACAGGGGAAGGGACAGACTTAGGGGAAGACACACCTGGTGATGCCACACATCATTCACTCGTTCATTCAACAAACATCCACCGAGTGTCAGCTAGGCACCAGGCACTGTGTGGGCTGTGGCAGATACAGCAGGAAAGAAAGGACCAGGGTGCCCTGACTTCCTGGGGCCCCAATCAGAGCAGCAGGGACCAAGAGCAAACCAGAAAGCCAACACACACCAACAAACGAGATGCTGGAAGGCCAGGAGAAGTAGCTTAAAAGAAACACAGCTGGAGGATGTGTCCCCAAGGACCGGGGACAGACGATCAGCATGGGCTCCCTGGGATGCAGGGGACGAGACAGAGCCCACCTTGAGCAGTGGGCAGTGGGGCTGAGCCAGGAAAAACATTCAGGCAGCAGGAACGGTATGCGGAGGGGCTTGGGTGGGAAAGTACACGAAGGCGCCAGACTGGGACGGACAGGGAGCTGGCGAAGCGGGGCACAGAAGAGGGGCAGGTGTGGTGGTGGCTGGGGAGAGTGGAGCAAAGTTGAGGGAGGGAGAGAGGCGAGGAGCAGAGCCTAAGGGAATGGGGAGGGCGAATTGGGGCTGGGAGAGCAGAGGGATGAAGAGAGAGGGAAGTCAAAGATTCAGACTTGGGGTGAGAGCGGCCAGAAAGATTGAGCCAGCGTGTGATTCATGGGGACAGAGAGACGGGTGGATGGAGGGCCAGGCGGGAGTGTGTGGCAGAAATGTCTTCCAGAGAGAAACAGTGGCACCAGAGCGAGGGGCGATGGAGAGAGAGGATGGACAGACCGACAGTGGCTGGAGATCACAGGCGCGGAGTGGAGAGAGCTGGCGAGGACCGGGGATCCAGGAGAGGGCCGTGTGGGGTAGGAGGATGGGTGACCCACGGCTGGGAGCCAGGCCTCAGACAGTTGGAGAGGGCATGAGGAGCAGAAGTAGGGAGGGACAGACAGGGCTCACAGACGGCCAGGTGTTGCGGGGGTGCGGCACAGGGCCAGGACCATGGCCAGGCTCACCTGCGCTTATCCCTGCCTGGTCCTGGGTCGCACCCGAGGCGGCGGCGGGCGGCAGCCCATGGGGGCTGCAGGGCGGATCAGGGGCTGCGGACCGGTCCCCACGCGCGCCGGGCGGTGGTGAGAAGGGGTGTCAGATCTGGGAGGAGGGGGCAAGCCGGGAAAAAAGCTCACCTCAAACCACACATCTTGCCCTAGACCCGAACCAGCAGCCAGACTCCAGGCGACCTCGGGGGTCCAGCCGTCCCCCTCCCAGCTAGCGCTGTGCTTTGGAACTACAACTCCCGGCAGGCCTCGCGCTCCCGCGGCTACGGCTTACCCGGCCTGGTGCTGCGAAGGCTACTGGGAGTTGAAGTCTTTAATACCTCTCCCGGCCGCAGAGAGGGTGTTTTTTTTTTGTTTTTTTTTTTTGTGGAGGTTTTGAGGGGGGTGGTTTAAGATGCCAGGGTCCCAAGACTCTGCAAGGGAGGGCAATGCTACCCAGGACCTCGAAAGGCTGCGCAGTCCTAAGACCTTAGGGGCCACGGCATGAGTTAAAAGGTCCCCACGCCGTAGGGATCGGTGGGAGCGGAGTAGGGTACACCCAGGTGTTTCGGGGACCCCGTTCCCGAGGCCACGTGCCCCTCCCCCGGAGTGCCCGGCCAGCACTGCAGACTCCCCCTGCACTGCCTGAGATCGACGCGCTGCACCCGACCCCCGCTCCCAGGCTTCGGGGCCACCCCGGCCCCCCGGGATGGGGGGGGCTGGAGGGGGGAGGAGCAGACTCACCCTAGCCGCCGCCGCCGCAGCCCCGCGCGCCCGCCGCGGTGCCCGCTCGCTCCGCCCCGTCCCTGTCGCAGGTCCGCAGCTCCGCCCCTGCACCCCCTCCCTCCCCTGCGAACCCGCAGCTCAAAAGCCAAAATCGCGAGGCTGCAGCGAGCGTGGAGCGAGGCTTCCCGGGACCCAGTGCGCGTCCACCTGGCGATGCAGCGACCTTGGCCGCGAGATCCAGGGCACCGTGCCCTGCTCCCTGGTCTCTGACCCAGAAGTCCGGGATCCCGGACTTCCCTAGGCCGGGACTTGGAGCGCCCCCACCTGCGCAGCTCAGAGCGCTGGTGGTGAAGGAGGCCTGGGTAGGAGGAGGCCGAGGGAACCCGGGCTCCGTCCTCCTGGGCCTGCTCCTTGCCGGGAGCCGGCTTCTCATCAGCAAAATAGAGGCAGTAAACTGATTTCCTAGGGGATGCAGCGTCGGAAGAAACCGGCAGTGTAGATTCAGCATTAGCACCAAGTAGGTGCTTAATGAATACTTTTTAAAGTAGCAAGTAAGAGTTTCGAGTATATTAATAGCAGTTAATGATAATTGTCACTTAAGATAAGTAGCAGCGTGCTAAGTGTTTTGAAAGCGTTTTCTCATTTCATCTTCACTTGGGCCCGGTACAGTTATGTTATTCCCATTTCACAGAGGAAATAATTGAGGCCCGTGGAGGTTAAATCCCTGGGGAAGCCCAGAGAGGCGGCCTGTAGGCCCCTCAGTCTCCCTGGGTGCTTCCTGCAGGCGGTAACACTCAAATAAATCTGATCTCAGTGAGAGATTGGTTAGTTCTTCAGCAAACAGGCTCAAGAGGAGTCTCCTGGGGCCTTGCTCTAACTGGATTATCTTCCCTCACTGCGGCCTCTGTAGACTCTCCCCACGCCACCCCCCAAACCAGGGATTTGAATCCAGGGCCTCCCCACTTTGCCACATCCCCAGCCCTTTTTAATTTTTTATCTTGGGACAAGGGCTTGGTCAATTGCCCAGACTGGGCACAGATTTGCAGTCCTCCTGCCTCAGCCTCCTGGAGTGCTGGGGTTACAGCTGTGCGTCTCTGCCCATGGCTGCCTCTGTGCACAGTTTGAGTCTGAGGCTGCCCAGGGCCCTGGAGGAACCACAACACCCAGGCTGAGTGACTTTGGGCATAGAGCAGCAAGGTTCAAGTCCTGGCTCTGCTGTCCCCTGTGCCACAGGGGGAGGATCACTTCTGCTCTCTGGGCCTGTTTCCCTCTCTGCAAATGAGGAGAATGATTTAAAAAGCAGGTTCTACCTCACTGAGTTATTTTGAGGACTGAATTAAATTCCTGGGAAGCACTTAGAGCACTGGCCAATGCTGAGTGCTGTAATCATTAGTAATTAACATGCATTTGCTCACTTAACCTCCAATTACGTTTGACAAGTGAAGAAATTGAGGCTCAGAGAGGGCAGCTGGCCTGCCCAAGATCACACAGCCAGAAGGGTCAAGAGTTGAGTGTGAGGGTGTCCATCTGAATCCAGAGCCCTCGCTGCTTTAGCCACTACTTTGTATGCTGGCAGCTGTGGCCTTGAACGTCACCACCACTGGACTGTAGAACTGTGGAGAGAGAGAGAGAGAGACCAGCATGTGAATTCCAACCAATCCACTAATCCATCTGGTAGATACTTTCTGAGCACTTACTGTGTGCCAGATGCTTTTTTAGGTGCCAGGGATTCAGCTGGGAACAAACAGGCAAAACTCTAGCCTTCAGGAGCTCCTGGTCTATCGGAGGAGACATAATAACCAAAGAAAGACTTACCCTGGGACCCTCACACTAGGATCCATTCCAGGAAGGCAAGTGCAGGTGTATTTGAGAAGGAATCCTGGACGGCATCTTCCTTGACGTCAGGGCTGAGTGAGCGGGAATGGGCCAGGGGGAGATGGGAGTGAGGCGAGCAGTGCTCGGAGAATGAGCAGCCCGTGAGGCCCGGGCCAGGAGGGGCTTGGCACATGACTACCTGGTGTGCAGTGTCACGAGGGTGACCTTTGGCTTGGTCATTGCTGTGTCCTTACTGCCCAACCCAGTGGTGGCACATGGTAGGTGCCACTGGGTACCGGCTGTCTGAACAAATGAATGACTGCATGAACAAGGGGTGGATACGTGGAGAAATGTTCGGGCATACAAATGTATTCATGGGTGAATGGAGGGATGCTGGAGGCATGAGGGAGAGATGGGTGGATGGGTGGATGGGTGTTGGAGGGATGGGTGAAGGGATGGATGGATGGATGCTGGATGGAGAATGTGTGGATGTGTGGATGAGTGAATTGCTGGGGATGGGTGGATGGATGGGTGTTGGAGGGATGGATGTACAAATAAGTGGGTGGGTGGATGGTGGATGGATGATTATATGGACAGACAGATGTTGGAAGAATAAATGAAGGGATGGATGGATGTGTGTTCACAGATCCTACTGACTCACACTCACATGCCTGGAGGTAAATGGAGATAAATGGTGCAAATACACCTTCGTCTCTCCTGGTGATCCCCACAGAGAGCCAGGCACTGAGAAAAGAGGTCGGCCATGCTGGGCGGGGCCTGTGCCCTGGCAAGTGGGAAGGCAGAGCCCCCAACCAGGGCCACCACGGAACGGTACCAGTGCTACCACCACTGCAGTGCTGGCATCACTTCTGGGATGAGAGGAAGATGCTGATTCAGGGATGTGTGTCCCAGGCTGGGCACCAGGCCAGCGAGTGGAACAGGGAAGGCCCAGGAAGGATGGGGTGGGTGGCAGAGGGAAGCATGAGGGGCCGGGCAGCAGAGAGACAGGCAGAGAGAGACAGGCAGAGAGAAACAGATGCAGAGAGATGGAGAGGGGAAAACAGTGGTGGAGACAGAGGGAGCGAGGGAGGGGAGGGGAGGGGCAGGGAGAGAAGCGCTCAGTTATTCATTCAACTCGAAGGTCCGAAGGTCTTGTACTTCCGGGAGGCTGGGAAGGTGTTACCAGAGGCCAGAGGTGAGGGGGACAAGGTCCTGAGCAAGACCAGTGGGGAGGAGGTAGCATTCTGAGGTCTGGGAAAGGAGCAGAAACACACAGGCAGGGGAAGGAATAGAAACACTGCCGACGGGAGGGGTCAGAGAAGGCTTCCGGGAGGAGGTGACCTGGAGCTCCTTATTAACTGGGGCATTTATTAGAAGAGGCAGCTCATGCTGGGATCCCCTCACTGGGAGGCTGAGGCAGGACAGTTGCAAGTTTGAGCCCAGCCTGAGCAACTTAGTGACTTATCGAAATAGTGTCACAAAAATAGATAGATAAGGGTGGGGGATTTAGCTCAGTGGTTCCGCCGCCTGCTTTGTAAGCGCAAGGACCGGAGTTCGATCCCTGGTACCCCCCCAAAAAAACCAAACTAGACAGATGGATGGCTAGATAGATTGATGGATAGAGGCAGGCCTTTGAAATGGGGAAAGGGAGGCTGGGGAAGGTGTAGCAGAGGCAGAGGACGGGATGGGCTGAGGGACCAGTTAAAGAAAAAGCTTCCTAAAGGGGGGCCGCAGAATGAGGGGAGAGGTGAACTGGATTGGGGCCAGGGGCCCGGGGAGCGAGAAGATCTGTCTGCAGCTCTGCCAGCCCCCAGGGGAAGGGGCTGGGACCAAGCTGGGGGGGGCGGCAGGAGGGCAGAGCTGGGGGCTGAGGGATGTGATGGCGCGTGTGCCTGTGGCCATATCCCCTGTCCTACACACGGGATGGGATGGGCGGCCAGAAACGGAGGAGGGCAGCTGAACGGGAGAGAAAGAGGCCTTAACAGGCAGGAAGCGAGCGCCAGCCTCCTCTCTGACTGGCCCAGCGCCTTCCCCTTGATTGCCTCAATGTCTTGCGCAGGGCTGGATTTAGGAGTGAATCTGGGCCACCTGCCTGGAAAGCGCAAGGACCAGAGTTCAATCCCCAGTAGCGAAAAACAGAAACAAACCCAGAATGGATCTGGGCTTCAGATGCCAGTCACTGTGGCACTCAGCTGCGATCCACCCCACCTACTCTGGAGGCAGAGGCAGGAGAAGTGCAAGGCCAGCTTGGGCAACTTAAAGAAAGATCCTGTCTCACAATTTATTCATTATTTTTTTTGTACCAGGGATTGAACCTTGTGCTTGCGAGGCAGGCACCAGAACCACTGAGCAACACCCCCAGCCCTTGTCTCACAATTTAAAAAATAAAAAGAGCTGGGGATGTTGCTCGGTGTGAAGGCCCTGGGTTCGATCCCCAGGACTGGGGGGAAAAAAAAAATCTCTTAATTTCGTTAGGTGCAAGTAGAGTGACAGGACCGAGGGAGAGCTAGGGTCTATTCCAGCCTCCTCGCTGGGCAGCTACTCGCACCCCCTCCCCCTCCGCTCGAGCCCTGGCCCAGGCCCCCAGTTCCCCACTCCCTCAGCGACAGCCCCTCCCCCAGGCACCTTGGCAACCTGCCCCGCCCACCTTTCCCTCGCGCGCGGAGAACCCGGTTCCGATTGAGAATCCCCCTGCCTGCCACTTCTGGCTGACCCAGGGCTGAGGAGGGCAAGTGGGCAGAGCGGGGTGTAGGCAGGGGAGAAGACAGATGGAGGCAGGAGCCTAGAAAGACGGGGCAGAGAGGCACGGAGACCTAGAGAGGGCGCGAGGGTTTGAGAGAGGCAGAGGCGGCGGAGTATGAAGGGAGGGAGGCTGGGGAAACTGAGGCAGGGCTAGGAAGATGGAGAGAGGAAGGAGAGAAGCGAGGGAGAAGAGGGCCTAGAAGTCAAGGGAAAGAGAGGAGGAGAGCTAGCCAGAGAGGGCGGGTGGGCGGGAGGCCGAAAGTGGGAGAGAGACGAGAGACGGGGGAGAGGGGCGGAGAGAGAGGGGTGGGGAAGCGGCCTGGGGGAGACCTGGGGAGATGCAGAAAGAAGCAGGGACGTGAGACAGAAGGGACTAGGGCGCCCAGGAAGCCCTCAAGGTTAGGGGCACCCTGTCTCCACAGGCTCCCTGCCTTCCCTTTCCGTATTTCCTCCCTGGGGCATCAAAAAGGAGGAGAGAGAGGACCTGGGAGGAGAAGCTGGGGTGCGCGGCCCAGCCAGAGGCCTCCTTCCCTCCCCGCCAGACATCCCTCGCCTGCCTTCCCAGGATGCAGCCTGAGGTGGAGCCCCTGGGCTGCCCCAGCCTGGGCAACCCCAGCATGCACAGGGAGCCAGGTACTGAGGGGGGCAGATTCCCTTCACCCCTGCACTGAGTGGGAGCCTGGGCCCTCAGGGTGGCCTGGTGGGTCCCTGGTATTCCATAGGGAGACCCTTCCCTCACCCCCATATTCACCAGGTTGCTGGACAATGGCCCCTTGCACCTCAAACTACATTTCCCATGAGCCTCTGGAGTTCCCTGGCCAATACGCTGGGCCCAGAACTACATTTCCTGTGAGCCTCTGGGCCCTTAGCAAACGTGAGGCCATTTTCCTTCTAGACACCCTGCCTGTCTTTGTCTTCCAATTTGAGCTCAGCGTCCTCCCTTCCTTTCCTCTCTGGTTTTCAATTTTCAGATGCTCCCACCACCCTCCCAATCCCTGAGCTGGGCCCACCCTTCCACCCACAGCCACCTCCCCACTTCGTGGCCTCTGACTCCCTGTGCCTGGCCCTCCCTCTCTGTGCCCACAGCCCTGGCTTGGCTGTTCTCTCCTCACCTTTTCCCTGGTCTTCAGCACTGACCCCAGCTGGCCCTGCTCAGACTTCCTGGCTTCCCCTTATACCCAGGGCAGTGTCCCAGCCCTTCAGCCTGGCTTCGAGACACAGTTTTGTCTGGGCCTGGGCCACAGTGCCCTGTTTGTGCTCTGTGCTTTAGCATAGCCCACTCAGGCACTCAGCATTCTCAGCGGGGATACAAGTGACTGTAGGTAGTAGACAGCTGGACTTGGGGTTAAAGAGTAGAAATGTCATTACCTCATCCAAAAAGAAGCTCAGAAGTGTGTAAGTATAGGGTGTAGGGGTTGGGTTTGGTTGAATCAGTAGCTCAGGGATGCCATTAGGATTCATTTTCTTTCCATCTCCTGGCTTTTTGGCTTGGGGTTTGTCATCTTTGCATACTTCAGCTTGCTTACCTCATGATCACAATATGGCTGCCACAACCCCATATTGTTAGAGCCCCCAAGTGGTGTCTCCTCACATGTAATTGGTCAGCACTTACCCACCCACCTTTACCTGGCAAGATGAATGGGATTATAATTATTTTGATCAGGGGTCCTCAAGTTTGACTGTTCTTAAAAACATTAACAAACCAACCCATATCTAACTTCAGCTCAGAACCACTGAACAAGAATCTCTGGGATCAGGACCCAAGCATCTGCATTTGTTTAATGTTTTCCTGGTGATTTTGTTGCAGGAAGAGTTGGGAAGTAGCTGAGCATAGTGGTGCACACCTGTAACCCTACACCCTGGGAGGCTGAGGCAGGAGGATTGCATGTTCAAACCCAGCCTAGGCAACTCAAGAGAGAGACCCTGTCTCAAAATAGAAAATAAAAGGGGTTGGGGGTGTAGCTCAGTGCAAAGGCCCTGGGCTCAATTTCTCGAGTAGACTAACCTAACAAAGGCACCACACGTTAAGCATAATATACGTACACTCCAGAAACGTGGCTGTTTGTTCATTTCAGGTTTGCTGTTTTCTTTCTTTCTTTTTTTTTTGGGGGGGGGTGTACCGGGGATAGAACTCAGATCCTTGCGCTTGGGAGGCAGGCAGCAGAACCACTGAGCTAAATCCCCGGCCCTTAGGTTTGCTGTTTTCTTTGTGGCATTTGGGAACCCATCACATTTTTAGTTTATCAGGTTGGAAGCTCAGGCGGAGGCCCTGAGAAGGCCCGTGAGCTGCTAATGGACAAGGAGGGAGCCTGTTCTCAGGCAGGGAGGGGACCTGAAGCCATCTCACAAATAATTCATACTCCGTGTCAGTAAGTGCTCTGCTGTTTGGGGTTGAAGAGAATTCTCGAGGTTCCTGCCAGTGACCTGTCGTGATGACCTGTCATCTTGGCCTTGGCTCAGGCGGGTTCACCTCTGCGCAAGAAGCCCTTCCACCTGCCCTCCCTCCTTCTGGCCAACACCTCCTTTCCACGCGGGCCTCACTGTGGACAGCACCGCCAGTCCCCTCCTCGGCTGCTGGGAGTTCTCAGAGGGGAGGCCGGGGAGCACAGCATCCTCCCAGGTCACACAGGCGGCCTCAGAGATGCGTCAAAGGTGGACATGGTTGCATTTTCTTAATTACTCAGCCAGCATCGATTTTGAAAGCAATACTTTTATTAATTCAGTTACACATAGACCTTTAAATGAATGTGTTAGAATCGCTATTGTAATTTAGAGACATTTTTTATTCCTTATTTATTTCTTAGTCCTGGGGATTGAACTCAGGGCCTTTGCACTGAGCTACATCCCCAGCCCTTTTCTATTTTTCATTTTGAGACAGGGTCTAGTTAAGTTGCGAGCTTCCTGCCTCTGCCTCCCGCGGTGCTGGGCTGACAGGCATGCACCACTGTGCCCAGCAGTCATTCACAGTTTTCCTGTCCCAATGCCTAGCTTCAATAACTAGCAATATTTTACTCTGATTTCACCTAGACACCCCCCCCCCCACCAGCACACACACTTTTGGGGGACATTCTTGAGGACAAATTTGTTTTAAAGAAAACTGCCAATGTGATTTCCTATTACCCACAAACATCAGCACGAGCCTCAATTACTAAGGATTAAGAAAATACATACCCCTGCGCCAGAATTATACCGAACAAAAAGGAAAATTATTCTTTTTTTTCCCTTCTTCCAGTTCTGGGTATTGAATCCAGGGCCTTCAGACTAAGCTACAACCCCAGCCCTCTTGTATTTTTCATTTTGGGACAGGGTCTTGCTAAGCTGCTATGTTGCTTGGGCGGGGCTCCAACTTGTGACCCTCCTGCCTCAGCCTCCCAGAGTGCTGAGATTCCTACAAGTGTGTGCCACCAGGCTCAGCAACAGTTATTCTTGAATATCATCCGATACCTACTCCATATGTAAATTCTCTGCTGAAGTCCAAAATTTGTTGTTTACAATTTGTTTGAAATGAGGCCCAAACCAAGGCCCACACATTGCATTTAATTATGCCTGTTCAGGTTTTATTCAAGAAATACTTACTACTGACCAACTAGTACCCAGCACCTGCTAGGTTAATGGATCATACAAAGAAGGTAGAATTGCCCATGTGCTGTGATCCACGAGAAACTCACCGATAGACACTCAGGGAAAATTGATTTGCTGAATGAGGGAGAAGAGAGTCCCTCGTGGAGGCACAGCATGTGCCAAGGCCCTGTGGCAGGAGGGACAGAGAGTTCAGGTCATAGGAAAGCAGTGAGGAGAATGATAGTGCCTGGTCAGGCTTAAGACATCAGCAGGTCTTGTGGGCCACAGGGAGGACCCTGGGTCTTCTGTATCCAACAATGAGGAGTCTTTGGAGGACTCTCAGGAGGGGTAGGTGGGTAGGAGCAGACCTACATTTCAAAGTAGAACCCCAATGGGGTGACTGGGCAAGTAGAGGAGTCAGATGGCTGTTGTCTAGCAAGGGTAGAGTGGGAGGAAGAAGCCTGGGGAGACTGAATAGGCACTCTGGATCCGGATGCTTTCATTCTCATCCTGATTGTATCATTTGGGGCTGTGTGATGTCAGGCAAGTCACTTAACCTCTCTGTGCTTCCATTTTATCATTTGCCAAGTGACACTGGAATGGAAATGGAAAGAAAGTGCTTTTAAAAGTCCTTGACACATGGAAGAGCCCCAGAAGCACATAGTGGTTACTATCATTAAGTGGACAGATATGAGAAGGTGGCCGGTCTGTCTGAGGGGGGGGGGGACAGTGTAGCTGGAACACCCAGCACCTGGGATGGCGGCTGGAGGAGGGAGGGTAGGGGCAGGGAGGGGACCCGGTGATGCCACAGGGTGAGCTGTGTTGACACCCTGGAGCCATGGGCCACTCAAAGCTCATAGGACCTGAGTGCTGGTTTTCATGAACTGGCTGTTAGAACTGTTGGAAGCCAGACAGTGGCCATTGTGAGGCCAGCCAGTGCTCTGTACGTATGTCAAATATCATCTCAGTAAGGGATGTTAGCAAGGACATGTCACAGGAGTTGGGCTGGGTTGTTGTTCCCAGGCTTGGGCTCTGGGAAGCGGGGCTTTGTTCTGACGCTGGCCAAAGACTAGGACTGAGGGGGGCAGCAAAGGCAGCCTGTGCTGTGGTTGGTTAAAGCAGCTCTGGGCAAGGTGGGGCTCTCTCTGAGCCAGGCACACGGAAGTTCTCCACACTAATTGGGGTGTTTGATCATCTTTGTAGTTTGGGTGTTTTGTGTTTCTGTCTGTGCTGAGATGTGATGTGGGAGTAGTCTTCTCTTGGTGCATTGTAGTCACAGTGGGCTTCCCTGGTGGTGGTGGTGTATGATACTGTTTGTGCCCCACAGGAGAGAGAGCATTGGGGCCTGGCTGTCAAAGGCTGCTTTTCTCTCATCCTCTGTAATAAAAAGACCCACAAACATGAGCATGAAGAAGATAGAAGCATATTTGTCTCACGTAATGGGAGGTAGGTGGTTGGGTTCTGGACACCTCAATTACATGAGAGGATTCAGGGCCCCAGGTCCTCCCCTATTGTTGCTCAATGTACCCAAACATGGTGGGTTACTACTGCATACATGCTTCAGCCCAAGGGAAGGGGCAAAACCCCCCAAGACAAGGAATTTTCTTTTAAGCATATGATCCCAAAGTTGCATCCCACACTCACTCTGCTAATACTCCATTGGTGAGCGTGTGGTCATGCAGTCATACCTAGCTGCAAGGGAGTCAGAGCAGCTGTGTGAGCTACAAGGGAGGCCAGGCAGCTGTGGGCTGGATACAATACTAGGACTAAAGGGGAAGGAGAAATGGGTCAATGGGACTACTGCAGTGGGCCCTATGGGACAGACCAATTAGCCAAGAAGGGGCCACATTTGAACTATCATCAATCAAGTTCCAGTGAAGAGAGTCCATAAAAAACTGCCAATTGGGCCCAAATACTGTTCCTAGAGGCAGGAGATACTGCTGTTGTGCAGGATCCAGGGAGAGTGACTGGAGGAGGAAACAGAAAAGAGCAAATCCCTAGCTTCCCCCTGGTTCATAGCCTCCCTCTGGTCCCTTTTTCAGACAGAGCCTGACAAGAACCCAACTGTCCAAGCAGATATGTGGTCATTAGAGTCTTGGCTTCAGCATCTCAGAGTGAAGAAGGGTGAGATCCAACAGCTGGCTTGTGAGCTACTCTAGGGTGGCATGGATGACAGGTGATGCTCATTCAAGCAGAAGCATACTGAGGAATGATAGTGGGTTCTCTGTCCTCAGCTGCCCTCCTGGTGGACATGGAGGCCCCAGAAGAGATGCCACCTCGAAGCCTGGGGAGGCCTGTCAAATCCTCGTGAGTGGCCCTTGGTTCTATGACTTCTGACCTCCACTGCTCCTCTAGATGTGACAGCAGGGACTTCTGACCTTGGAGGACCCTGCCTGTCACTCTCTCTCTCAGGAAGCAGTGCCTACAGCAGGTCGTTGCAGAATATGAGGCTCTGGACCGAGAGCTGCCATGCATACGGAAGTTCTCCACACCACCTGCCTCCCAGCCTCTCCGCCTTTGCATGGAGACCTTGGTGAGGTCTCCTCCTTGTGGCTCCTTGGTTTCCGCAGTTTGAGGGCTGGGAATAGAAAGGGTGCGGGTTTGGGATTGAGGTGGGCAGGGTTTAGACCCAGGCTGTGTGGTTTACGGGCTGTGGGCTTGGCACTGGGGCAGTACACTGAAAATTGATTGTGGATTTGTCAAAGGATCGGTCTTCCAATTTATCACTGTTCATCCCAGGAGAAACTGAGGGCCAGAGAGAGGGAGACTAAGGACGAAGGGCTTCTGCTAATCTATCTGCTAAGAAATTCCGTAGTTTCAGATGTAACAAAACCTCCCAAAGTTTTGTTGTTTTGAACCCAGGGGTGCTCTGCCACTGAGCTACATCTTTAGCCCTTTTTATTAGAGACAGGGTCTCACTAAGCTTCTCAGGTGGGACTCCAACTTGAGATCCTCCTACCTCAGCCTCCCAGAGCCCTGGGATTACAGCTGGGGTCTAAGGCGGTGTCTTCTGACCCAGGGGATCAAGGGCTGAGGGCCTCTCTTCTATCCCCCCAGGAGGATTTTACCCACGTGGAGGTGCTGGAGGCGCTGGAGGCCAAGTTACCTGGGGCCATGGAAAGCGGGCGCGTGAATAGCATACGCTTTGAGAACATGAACGTAATCTGTGGGACCGCGGCCGCAGAGACCGGTGAGCCAGCGCGGAGGGCGGAGCCGAGAGGACGGGAGGGGGGGGGGGCGTGGAGCTGGAAGCAGTGAGGGGTCGTGGCCTAGGGCCCCTGAAGATCAAGATTGGTGTCTAAGCGCTGGGGGCGGGGCCAAGCGAACGGGGCGTAGGGTGAGCGGCCTGGGGGCGGGGGCGGGGTGAGGGGGCGGGGCCGAGACCGGCTAGTAAGGGCAAGGTGGGAGTCCCGGCATTGGAGGGCGGGGCTGGACTGGGTCGGAACCCGAATTTGGGCCAAGAAATGGGCTTGGCGCCAGGAAAGGCAGCTATGAGGAGCAGTGGGCCGAGCACCTAGTAGGGCCAGGGCAGGATGTGATAAGGAGGGAGTGACCTGGAGAGATCTGGATCACGGGGCAGAAGCAGGCTGAGCGCGAGACCAGAGCTGGAAAGACAGGGGTCCGGGCACGTGTTGACCTCCGCGAGAGGGCAGGGCTGTTAGGGACAGAGCGGCCAGAGTAGGTAACCGGGAGGAGGCTTTGCCAATCCAAGGCGGGGCTGAGGCCACCAGCAAGTTGCCCCTCGCAGGTGGCTCATCACCGTCGCTGACATTCAGACGCGCTCGCGCCTACTGCGCTCTGGGCTCAGCCCCCGCGGGCTGGAGCACCAGCTCGTGCTCCACGACGACCTACAGTAGGGCGACTACCGCTTGCACTTGCGCCGCTCGCTGGTCCGACGGCGCATGCTCGAGGCCCTGGGGTCGGAGCCAACCCAGGAAGACTGACGCAAGAGAGAGGGTGGGCCCCGGCTGCGCTTGCGCACTACGCCCCTGAAGGGGGGGGCCGACTTCGCCGGGAGGGGGCGTCGCCTCCCAGGAAGGAGGCGGGGCCGGCTCGAGGGGGTGGATACTGTGAGTTTAATTATAAAGAAAGACTTGGTACAAAAGCCATTTCTGTCTGCAAAACCTTGGTGGGGAGTCCAAGGAAGGGAGGGGGTGGGGGTAGGCACTCACCCCCTTCTTATAATCCCGCCTCCCTAAACCTACTCCAGTCCCTGCAAATGGTCGCCGGGGTCCTGATCCCTTGAGGGAGGAACTGAGGCCATCAGAAGAGAAGACCTGGGCGCCGGACTTTGGACGCGTGCAGATTCCAGCCGGTCTCAGCGAGAACCAGACGTCCTCATCCGCCCCCTCCTCGTCCCCTTCCCACCCCCCTTGGAAGACAATTCTCAGGCTTTTATTTCAGGTCTTTTCTGGACTTGTGTATGTGTGTGTGTTCTAGGGTTTTTCTTTTTTTGTCGTTTTGCTTTGTATTTTGTTTCTTTTTGCTTAGTCTCTCCTCTCCACCCCGTGCCTCCCCCCTCCAGCCCCACCCCCCTGCTCCTCCCCCTCCCCACCCCCAACACCCTCCCCAACCCCGCGGCACCCATCCAGAATGAACAAGCCCTTGATAGACAGGCGCCGCGCAGGCCCCCTGCGGACTGGGGGCATCCGACCAGGGGGAGGGGGAGGGGGCGGGTAGGGGCCCAGCGCACGACCTCTGCTTCTGTCCTGCCACCCCTCCCCCCTCCCGCGACCCTCCCACAAGGTTCCCCGCAGATCCCTGACATGGTGAGGGGAGGGCTGCCCCTCCCCTCGTGGACGGAGCGCCTCCCCCCACCGTGGGGGTAGGGGCAGCAGAGGGGGATGGGCGTGGGGAAGGAGGGGGAGCGCCCTTCTTTGGCAGCTGAACATGGGGGGAACCTGAGGGCAGTGCCCTCCCCCCTTTACCCGCAGCAGGGGAAGGGGCTTCCAAGGGGGAGAGGTGGCTTTAAAATTCCCAAGCCCCAGGAATAAGGGGTAGGGGCAGCGTGCGGGACGGAGCGGCCATGCTGGAGGGAGGGGGGGTCTGGGAGGGGAGGAAAGGCCAGAAGGGGCTCCTCGTGCAAAATGGGTGGGAAGATGGCCCGGGGAGGACGTGGCAGGTGAGCGGAGGAGAGAAGAAGCCTGGTGAGCTGGGAGCTAGGTGGGAAGAGGCGGGCATCGGGGCAGACGGCAGCGCAGCCCCAGTGCACGTGGGAAGGGCGAGCGTGCCCAGGAGGGGTGGGGCCTCGGGGCAGGTGGGGAAGTCGCCGAGGAGTTAGCAGAAAGCGGGGAGTGTGCAGCAATGTCTGGGTGCGTTACAAAAGGAAAGAGGGCCCCGGGGATCCGTCAGGGAGCGCGCTGGGGAAGGTGCGTGTGGGAGAGGGTGGAGATGGGCCGTGCGGCTGTGAGCAGCAGTTCCGCAGGGGCGAGTGGCCAAAGTGACAGTGCAAGAGGGCAGGGGTCACTGTGAGCAGAGCGAGAATGTGGGGTTCATGATCAGAGGGGAAAGCACCTCCGTGTAGGAGGATGGAGGTGCGCGTATCTCGGGGGAGCAGACGACAGCGAGCGCACGAGAGCTGAGCAAAGACAGGGTCCCTGGGGAGGGAATGCGCAGGTCCAGGCCGCGGCGGGGGGCTGGGGGGCCCCGCAAGCTGGGTCCCGCGTGTGTCTGCATCACGGGACCGGCGTGAGCGGAGGGCGGTCTGGAGACTGCATGAGGGGGCCCCAGGAGAAGGGGTGTGCCGGAGGAGTGGAGGCATGAGGAAAGAAACATGTGCAAGGAAAGCCGAGCTGGGCGGGCGGGAAGGCGGAGTGTGCGGAGACAGTGAGGGCAGATTTGTGCAAAGCTGCAGCTGAGGGGAGGAGAGGGCGAGCAGGCGTGCAACGGAGCCGAGCGAGCAGAGGCGGGGGAGGGCAGCTGTGTGCTGGGGAGCGGGCGGGCAAAGGGGCGGAGGGGCCTGGGGAGGCGGGAAGGCTGCTAGAGGGGCGCAGGTGGTGGAATGTGAGGGCACCCCTCCCCTGCGGCCTGGGGTCGCCCCCATCCGGTCAGGCTCAGGGCTGGCCCTCTATGGCTCTGTCTGTCCCCTCCCCCAGGATCGACCCTTCCTCCTCCTCAGTCCCGGCGATTCCTCCGTCCCCTCCCGCCGCTCCCCACACGTCACTCGAAGTCCTGTGTCAGCCGCCCCCTCCTGTGAGGTGCAAGTGTCCGGCCCGGATGGGGCCACCTGGTGACCTCAGGCCTCGGGAGACAGGGCAGGGCGCAGTTCCGGCAGAGTCCCTGCCCGGCGAGAACGGGAGGTGAGAGGCGCTGGCGGCAGGGTTCTGTGGACGGCCGGTCCGTCCAGGCCAGCCATCACCTCTCCAGGAAAAACTTGAGAGCCCGGTCGATGTTCATGCGGTGGCCCACCCTGGTGACCCCCAGGTCCACATAGTCCTCCTTGGTCAAGGCGGGCAGGTGGGAGCCGTCGATCTCGTGGTCCAGGAAGCGGGCCCGGTGCTCGGCCAGGCCCAGCCACTCTAGCCAGTCGGCCACATCGAACTTGGTCCAGAAGCCCAGAGGTTTGGCGCCAAACGGTTTGTCCGGGGGCAGCGACAGCAGGCGGGTGGGCGACAGGGAGCGAGAGGCCCCCGACAAGGCTCCTCCCAGGCCCCCGGACATCCCCGCGTGCGGCGGCACGAAGACAGGGGCGAAGGGGTCCGCGGAGCCCCCCGCCCCACCGGTGGGGGAGCCGCGGATGTCGAAGAGGCCCGGGTAGAGAGGGCCTGAAGGCAGGATGGGCAGGGACGAGGGCCTGGGTGCTGGGCTGACCTTGTGCTCCGAGGCGGGCAGCAGCGAGGGGCTGGGGGCCCGGCGGAGCAGGGGGGGCCGCATCTCGAACTCTACGCCCTGGAGGTGGCGGGAGGAGGTGGAGGAGGAGGAAGCAGAAGGTGAGATGGCCCCCGGGGGTGCAGTGGCTGAAGGCGACACCCCGGATCCAGTGGGGAGTGGCGGCAGAGGTGGCTTGGGCCAGTTCTGAAACAGGCTGCCCACGGGCTTGGGGAGGAGCGAGGACTGGGAGTCGTCGGAGAGCCTGCGAGGGGGCAGGAGACGGGCGGGGGGGATGAGGGGGAGAGGCGAGGGGGGAGGGGGAGAGACCGAGGTCAAGATACAGGGAGAGACGCGAGCGTGGAGGAGATGGACGGAGGAAGGAGTCGAGGCGGATGTCAGGACAGAGAATGAGCCATCGGGAAAGGGTGAGTCGAGAAAGATGAAAGAAAAAGAGACATTAAGCGATAATAATCATTGCCACCACTTACTGCTGCTCATGTGTGCCAGGCATTGTTCTAAGTGCTTTACATCTCCATCTCAATTTAATCCCCACAATAGCCCTGATGCAGGTTACTATGACCATCATTTTTATCAGCACAGAGAGGTTTAGTAACTCGCCTAAGGACACACAGCCAGGAAGTGGCAGAGCCCGGTTATATGGCACCAAACTCTGAGCTCTTAACCACTACTCTATACTGCCTTTGGGATTATGGCCAGTTATAGCAGAGTGGAAGACAGGAACAGTGAGAGGAACAAAAAAGAGGATGAGCATTTTGGGGAGAGAGATGGAGGGGGACAGGGGACAGAGAGAGAGAGAGATGAAGAGAGGGAGATGAAAGAGAGAAGAAACAAGGGGAGAAAAAGGTTCCCCTCATCCCTTTGGCTGCCCTAGCATAGGCTCACGCTTCTGGTCGCAGGCTGCCAGCTCCTGCCTCCTGGGCTCTGCTGTCTCCCTGCTACTCAGCAGCCCACTAGGGTGAGGTATGAAGGTGACTGCAGCTTCTCTGCTCACTGTCGGGCCAACCCCTGCCTCAGCGGGCTCTGAGCTGTGTCTGTCTTGTGCACTGTGGGGTTGCCACCCCCTAGAAGGGCACCCGGCACATGGCAGGCGGTCGTCCGTCTGTAACCAGGCTCTGGGTGATTACACCAGGCATCCTCTCCTTCCAGTGCTGAGTGAAGTGCCCAGAGACCTTGAAGGCCTAACAAGCCCACGTCTCCCAGCCCTGGGCCAGGACTAGTGAGCCCTTTGGAGGGGTGAGATTTAAAACTCCCCCTCCTACCACATTCCCGAAGACTGGAGGGTCTTGGGCGGGCTTGGACTTTGGGGTGATCTCCGCTCACTAGCCGCTTTGGGGGACTTTGCATGACCCCATATTTCCCCATCTCTGTGATGCTGGGGTCTTCAAGAGGCCCTGTCCTCCTCCACCGGGGGTGTGACAATGGCACACCTCAGATCTGCGCCAATGCCCTTTTAGGGGGGGTACTGTGCTGTCCCCATCCTGCAGAGGGGTTGGTTCTTTACCTAAGATCACCCAGCCAGAAAGTGCTGAGCCAGGCTGGGCCTGAGCCCCAAGAAGCTGGGCCCTGTCTGGCACCACCCTGGGTACAAGGGACTCGGACATCTCCTGTGTTCTTCCTGGGCTGTGAAGTAGGTGGGGACCCCAGGAGGGCACTTCCTCCTGGAAGTCTGAGCTTCTTCCGGGGCAAAGCCCTGCAAGCCAGCCTGCTTTGTGTCTTTGTCATCCCGGGACCGTCTAGGGACACAGCTATGGGAGGGCGGACTCTGGTGCCCACCACATCAGCCCTAAGGCCTCCACTGCCAGCCGCTGGTCCTGCTCACCTCTGCCGCTGCAGGGAGGAGGTCCTCTCGGGGACGTAGCCGGCTCCACCGTGGTGGCTGTCCCCAGTGCCCCCGCTGCCTCCCCGGGCCCAAGGCAGAGCCCCTCCAGCTGCTGAGGAGCCCCCGAACTGCTGGAGCTTGGAGCTGAGTTCGCTGATGATGCTGGCTTTGACGGTGGCCAAGGCGGAGGCCTGAGGCTGGGACAGGGGCCCAGACAGGGGTGGTGGTGGCGGGCCCGGGCCCTCCTCCCAGGGCAGTAGCTTCCGAGGCAGGGAGGCGGCGGCAGGCAAGGGCACCGGGGGGACTTCCGGCTCCACCGATACCGGGCCCCCGGCCACGCCTGCCGAAGAGGGCCCCGAACAGGCGCTCAGGGCCAGCAGCCCGTCGTTTCCGGCCCCAGTCACAGAGACCGTGGGGCTGGTGGGGGTGACAGGGTCTCGGAGCCCGCCACTGGGGCCGGGTCGAAGGCCTCCGGCTGCCCCCAGCGCCCGGCCTCGGAGCTTCGAGGGAGTCGTGAGCTGCGGGGGATACGGCGGCCCGCTGCCCCCGAAGGCCTGGCCGTCCAAGTAGGCCACGTAGGTGTCCAGCAGCTCAGGCCCGCTGGCCACCCCGCCCCCGCCCTCGGCAGACAGGCTGCTCAGCGTGGACGCGCTGCTGATGGTCTCCAAGGGGTGGTCACTGCTGCTGCGACTGTCCACCTCCTCGATCCCGGAGTCCGTGCCCGGTGGCGGATCTGGGCCCGGCTGCGGGGCGGGGGGCGCTGGGGCCGCTGGGGCCGGCGGGCCTGGGGTGGGGTGGTCCCCGGGAGCCGCGGGGGGCCCCTGAGTGAGCGTGGCCACCTCGCTGTCATAGGACGTCAGGCTGGATGCAGTGGAGTCCAGGGCGGGCGGGCCAGGGGCGGCTGCCGCCGGGGGGGGCACGGGGGGCAGGGGGGTGACTGGAGCAGGGGGGTCCGGGAGCGGCTGGGGGGGGCCCGGCGTGAGGGGCGACTCCGGCTTCTCGAAGCTGTTGGAAAACTCGAGGGGTGGGGGAAGCGGCTCCGCAAAGAGGAAGTCACCGTCGTCCGCGTCCACCGACGGGGCCGGCGGCGGCAGCACGAGCAGAGGGAGCCCATTCTCCTCGCCGCCCCGCGGGGACGTGGGACAGGCGGGCACGGAGCGGCGCGGGCTGAGCGGCGGGACCCCGGGCCCATCCTCCGCCGAGGGCCCCCTGGAGACCGCCGCCGGCCTGGCGCGCGGCTGACAGTTCTCGAGGAAGCGCACGTGGAGGGGTAGCCGCTCAGGCTCCTCCGCGCCTCCAGACCTCCAGGCCTTGCTGACCCCGGGGTGTGGGGCGGGAGGCTCGGGCCCCAGCTGCAGCAGCAGGGGCCCCACGCCGGGCGCCGTGGGCGGCAGGCGGTGCAGCAGCGAGCGCCGCGCGGCGGGTGGGCTGGCGGGGAGCGGCTTCTCTGGCCCGCCCAGCCCCGCTCGGTAGCCCAGCTCCCGGCGCGGGGGGTCGGGCGGCGGCGCCCCCCAGAGGCGCAGCACGGGCTCGTGGTGCGCGTGGGGCGAGTGGTGATGCGGGGTGGGCGGCGGCGCGTCGTAGCGGGGCGAGGGGGGGCGGGGCGGGGGCTGGGGGGCGCCGCCGCCCTCTGAGGACTCCTTCAGCGCGCGCTCACGGGCGGCCAGCGCCAGCCCGAGCGGGGAGGCCGGGTCCAGGGCCTTGCCGGTGAGCGGGTGCAGCAGGGGCCGCGGGGGCAGGAAGCTGGAGAAGGCGCTGCTGGCCCCGCTGCCCGCGTAGGCGCGTGCGCCCGCCGAGTAGCCCGCGTAGCCGGAGCTCCCCGAGCCGCCCGCAGACTCCAGGCGGAGGTAGGGCTCGGCGGAGAACATGCCCTCGTCGATGGACTTGGAGTGGCGCAGCCGCGGGCCCGGGGTGGCCCCGGCGCCCAGCCCGCCTTCGCCGCCTTCCTCGTCTCCCGCGTCCGTGGAAAGGAAGAGCGTGGAGCGCCGGCGGGCCTCGTTCTGCCAGCCGCCATCCCTGCGCGCCGCGCCCACCAGCGCCGCCCCGAACTGGCTGGTGAAGTCCAGGGTGGCCGGGCCGCTGGGCGACGCGGGCGTGGGCACGGGCGACGGCGAGGGCGGCACGGGCGACAGGGGCGGCGCTGGGCTGGATGACGAGCCCCCGCCGCCTGCGGGGGTCTCGGGCTGGGTGGGCGGCTCGGCCTCGGTGCTGCTGCCCTGGCTGCTGCGGCCGCTGCTGCTGGTGGACGGAGCCTTGATGATGATGGTGGGGATGGGGATGGAGTTCTTCTCGGCCGGCGCGGGCGCGGGGGGCAGCGGCTGCGGCGACGCGGGGGACCCGGGCGCGGCGGGAGGCAGGGCGCCCTTGTGCGGCTCGCCCTCCACCTTGGTCTGCTTGACCAGCGGCCCCTTGCGGCCGCGGCCGGAGCGCGCGGGCACGTACATGGCGGCGCTAGCGGCGCGCGGCGGCAGCTGGAAGTAGCGCAGGGCCGGGGCTTGCGGGGCGCCCCCGGCGCCAGCCCCCGCGTGGTGCGACGGTGAGGGCGCCCCCGGGCTCGGGCTGGGCCCGCCGCCCCTCCAGCCCCGCAGGCTGGGCTGGGGCCCCAGAGCCAGGCGTGGCGGGGCGTCGTCGGGGGCGCCCGTCTCCATCTCGGGCGGGTGCGGCGGGTGCGCGTGGTGGTGGTGGTGGTGGTGGTGGTGGTGGTGCGCAGGGGGCAAGGGGCCACCGTGGTACAGGCTCTTGTCCCGGCCCCCCACGCGCGTGTCGGGAGGGGAGGGGCCGTCAAAGGACGCTGGGGAGGAGGCGGGGAGGGGTCCCCCGGAGCCGGGGTTGAAGGGGCCTCCCCGCGGGGACGGGGTGAGGCGGCCCGAGGAGGAGGGGGCCGGGGGTGTGCTGTACGGGGGCTCTGGTGGGGACGTGGTGGGCGGCGGGGGGATGTCCTCCGAGCCCGGCACAGACAGGCTGCGGCTGAACTTCATGGCTGGGGGTGCTAGGTACGGTCTGTCATCCTCTGCAGCCCCTGGGGAGAAACGGAGGACGCACGGCGTGTGGCACACGGCGGGGCGCTCCCGCTGTCCTGCATTGGGCGTAAGCTGCTAAACAGGACGAGCCAGGCGCTTCGGGATTTGCACTGCTCAACAGCAAACACCAGGGGGAGCAGGCGGGAGGGCGGCGAAATTCAGCTGAATTTCCACCTCCAAACACGAGAGGGCGCCTCTTTCTAATTCGCACAAAGGCAAACGGATACTACGGTGCCTTGGGGTGAGCTGAAGTAGTTTGCGCTAGGTAGGGATCGCCCTGATTTCACAGCTACAACCACTCAAGACGTAGCTGATGGCAGACAAGCTCTTCTGGCTTGGGGACTGAACCCACGGCCTCAGGCTTGCTAGACAAGCTCCCTGCCACTGGGCTGCATCCCCAGCCTGAGATGTGGCTGTTTATAGAGGTAGCCAACACATGGAAAAAGTCCTCGGCCCATGGCGAGACACAGATGAGCTCATGGATGCTACACCCCTTTGGTGATGGCGGACGCTGGAGTCGGGGCGGGGGCTGGGGGGGAGCAATGGGCAAAGGCATGGGCAACACCGCCCCGGGCGGCTGAAAGGAGCTAAGCCTGCCTATTTCTCAGGGTCAGGCCTTGACCAGAGTATCTGGCTGCTCCTCCCGTGGGGCATATGGCTTCAGTCACTGGCTGTCATCAACTCCCGCATTTACGTCCGGACCCCCACCCCCACGTCTGATCTCGGGGCTTGTCCCCATTTTCAAGATGCCGAGCCGCTGCTCCACGGCTGGGAAGGAGGGGAGCCGGGACGCCCAGCTCCAGGCCCTGAGCTCTGCCCAGTCACAGGCCTGAGCAGAAGTCATCTCCTTCCCCACCGGCCCAGCCCTGGAGCGAGAACTCACCGATAGATTTTTGTCGGAGCATGAGCCCAGGTCCAGGAGGCAGGAAGGAAGGGCGCTCGTAACTTGGCTGGGAGCGGTGATGGGGATCGAAGCTTGACTGTGGGCCAGCAGCCAGTCGGGGAGAGAAAAGACAGCAGAGAAAGTTGGGTGGGTTTGGGGTCGGGGTCTCGGCACGTGGCCACCCCTTCCTTCGAGCCTTGGAGCGGAGGGCAGCGTGGAGGAGCAGGCTGCAGGGAGGGGAGGCTCAAGTCTGGACAGCAGGCAGCAAAGTGGGGAGAAGAGCAGATCCACAGCCGGCCCTGTGGCTCCCCACACTGACCACACAGGGCACTGCCTTCCTGCAGTCACTGCCCCGACAATTGTAGGAGCTTCTGCACTTCCTGCTGTGACCCGGTCCCACAGCCCTGTGTGCCTATTGTCCACCCAAGTCAGAGGAATCCTCCAAAAAGAAACTTAAGGCATGCTGTTTCTCTGCTTGAAATCGTAGGGTAACATCTGACACCAGTGAGAAGTGGATTCGAATTCCCAACTCCAGTCTACAAGGGAATCTGGGGGAGACACTGCTGATGCCCATCCTTGGGTTCAGATCCCCTCAGACGGGTGCTGTGCCTGCCCCCTGCTGCTGAGAGCAGCTCCTGCTGGTGCTTCTGGATAATCACCGGCCTCCAGAGCAAGTGTAATCCCAGCACTGGGGAGGCTGAGGCAGGAGGATCACCAAGAATTCAAGGCCAGCCTGGGCTACATAGCAAGACCCTGTTTCAAAAACCAAATAACTCACCAAAAACCAAACAAACAAACAAGCAAATAACTCAAAAGAGCAGAGCAGCCCACAGGCCTTGCAGGACTAATACACACAGGGAGAGCCAGGCAGGGCTGTGATGTGAACTCGGGGCTCCCTGGGTCCCCGCAGGTCCCCTGAGCTTGTGGCCCTCAGTCCTGTCCTGGCTCCAGCCCTCGGCCCAACCTCCCTCTTCCTGTGCCGCCGCTGCAGCCCTGGTCTAACGGCAGGTCCCGCCTGCCTTCTCACTGGCAGGCACTGCTTTCACCTCTACCTTCTCCACTCAGATGTCCCTGCCCACCTGGTCTCCGCGGCCCGCGTTTCCTTATCACACCACACGTCTCTGTCAGAAGCCATCCTGTGGGCCAGGGATTTAGCTCAGTGGTTCGAGCACCTGCCTTGCAAGCGCAAGGTCCCGAGTTCAATCCCCAGTACCAAAAAAAAGAAAAGATTCCAGAAGCCATCCTGTCACTAGCTGTGGCCTGGACCTCTGCCAGCTCACAACTCCTGAAGGCAGGACAGACTCCTCCCACACAGGGCCAAGGGGTGGACCCCACAGACTTTTAGGGGGACGTGTTTCAACTTCTTTTAGAAATGGGAAAAAATGAACGTCAGTCCACCTGGATAAGACATCAGCCCTCGGTCTCCTGGGCAATCAGTTCCAGGCCCAAAGGCCGCGCATGCTCAGTCCCCTGCACACACTGGTGCAGTGTCTGTATCCAACCACACGTCCCCCGCACGCTTCGCCACCTCAGGTCCCGCACAATGCAAACTCTGTGTCAGTAGCTGCTTTACTACACTGTATGATTGGGGTAATGACAAAAACCCAGGTGTGGTGATGCACACCTGGAACCGCAGGCTTCGGAAGGCTGAGGCAGGAGGACCGCAAGCTCAAACCCAACTTGGGCAACTTAGTGAGATCCTGCCCCAAAATGGAAAGTAAAGGGGGTTGGGAATGTAGCTCAAAAACTGCAGCGCGGGAATTCACGACGTCCCCCAGCACTTTTGGGCTGCAGTTGGTTGAGTGGCTGCGTTTGGAAGCTGCAGCTCTGAGGGTAAGCGGAGGGTCCAGCTCTCCGGACACCCAGACAGCCTGCCCGGGGGGTAGTGACTCTGTCTTGTCCCCTGCCAAGTGCCCCATGTCCAGACGGGGCTCCTGTCCTCCCTACAACACGAGTCAGAAGCCAGATGAGGACCCTGCTGTGCCCTGGCGATCACGGGTGCCTCTTCCCCATCCTTGGGAGCAGACTGGGAAACCCGCTCTGGGGTGAAGTGGGACTCCACATCCGGTCCCTGCCAAGGGTCCTCAGTCCTCAGCAGTCCTGGCCGCTTCTCACCCCTGACAGCCTTTCCTCATGCTCTGAAACTTGGCACCCTGGCCTGGCCACCCCCTTCCTCCAGGCCTGTGCTGTCCCACACAGGGCCACTGGCCATTCGGATGGACATTGCAGTTAATTAACAGGAAAAAAAATCCATCATGCCTTTCAGCACTTTCTAGTTCCTACTACCTGGAGTGCTGGTGCAACCACTAGAGCTTCAGCAGCCATCGTGGACTCTGAGGTCACATTATAGTTGGTAGAACATCTAGGGTAGTGGAGCAGAAAGTGACCATGTAGATGGCCACTCCTGCCTTGGGCTCCCTGCCCTTGAATTCTTTAACATGAAAGTGATCAGTATTTATCTTGTGCAAGACCCTTTTTGGGAAGTTTCTCTCACATAAGGCAGGATCCAACTCTGCTTTATTCCACTCTCCCAGTGTAAATTCTCTAAAGGAAGTGACCTTGCTTGTCCTGTTCACTCCTCTACCTGCAGGACTCAGCAGCAGGGCCAACACAGAGTAGGTGCTCAATAAAAATGCTTGCAGAATGAAAAGTTCCTGGGAGGTGAAACAAGACACCACAAAGTGGGCTAAGAAGCCTGAAGGAAGTCCCTTCCCATTGGGGCCAGGACTGACTGGCCTCATTCTGATGGTCATGAAAGAGGCTGTGAATCAGACGGAGGAACCATGTAACTATCTGGGAGGCTCCAGACTGAGTTCCAGCTGATCTTCATGCATAAACCCAGAGCGCCTGCTCCCGAGCAGAGGGGCAGCCAATCAGGGTGTGCCTTTTGCGTGATGTCACCGGCTGCTGGGCAAGATCCTCCTCAAAGAATCAGCCTGGGGGTCCCTTCTCTCCCATGGCCCCAGGGGCAAAGGGCTGGGATGTTCAAGGCCCTGAGGAGGATAATGAGGAGAATAGAAGTTGGGGGATAGATACAAATGGGAGATACACAGAGACAAAGAAAGGAAGCCTAGCATGGTGGCACAAGCCCGAAGTCCCAGCACTCTGCGGGGCTGAGGCAGGAAGTTCTCAAGCCAGAGGCCACCCTGTGCAGCCTGGTGAGACCTGGTCTCAAAGGAAAAAAGGGGGTGCTGAGGATGTGGCTCAGCGGGAAGGAGGTGGGTCGGGGAGGCAGCCAAAGAAGAAAAAGAGAAGAGAGCTAGATGGGGAAACACGGATAGTTGCAGAGAAAGACAGGGAGACAGAGATGGGAGTTAGAAAAGGGAGAGACAAAGACTGGAGGACAGGAAGAGAGGGAAAGGCATTCTTGGGAGTTGGGAGGCCCCAAGATGGAGAGGGCCAGAGCAGCCTAGGAAGGAGAGAAGAGTGATTGAAAACAAGTAGGAGAAACTGAGTCAGAGAAAGGCTGAACCCCGCACCTGTACAGAGCTGGAGGACAGACAGCCCCCTGGTGTGCGTGACCAGGCGACAGGCAGTAGCTGGAAGCCAGGGCCACAGGGGGGCAGATGGACAGCAGAGCCTTGGGGGCAGAACCCGAGGGAGATGGCAGCTTGAGGCAAGACCAGATTCTTAGGAGGCCACCGAGATGTGGCAACCTCACATGGGGGTGGGAAAGATCAGGATGGGGGACAGAGCCCCCCACATGAGAGGGGGCTTTGGGGACACCCTGGGACAGACCCAGGAAGTGCAAAGGAGAGGGAGGCTCTAGGGGGTAGATGGCTGCGGCCCCCTGGACAGGGAGGCACGAGAGGCCACAAGGCTTTTCTAGGGGTGGGGTTCAGATGGTCCCTTCCAAGAGGTGGGCTCTGGGCAGCCCCCCACCCTGCCTGGGAGCTCCACAAATTTGCTGAAGGAAACAGGATCTGTTTGCTTTCCATGTGATGGGCCCTTGAGCATTCTCTGTACGCAGAGATTTCTGGGGAACATGCAGACTCGCAGTGGGGTCTCCAGTTTGCTATTTTCTATCCCATTGAGAGCTGCCATGCTGGAGTTCACCTTGAAAATCCCCAGCAGACCTTGGCAAGGTCGGCTTTGGCCCCATCTTACAGGAGAAGAAACAGATTCAGAGAGCCGAAGTAGCAGGGTCCAAAGTGGCACACAGCGTTGGGAGAAGCCAGCCTCTGAATCCGTGTTTGTTACTCCAGAGTTTCTGGGGACTGGGAGCAAAGGAAGGCACCTGGGGGAGGTCCGCAGGCCGAAGCTGGGAAGAGGAGAGGCTGACATGCAGATGAGAGGGGCCTGGAGACATGGACTGACAGGAGTACATTCCAGCCCTCTGCTATTATTAGTTTTGAAACAGGGTCCCACTGAGTTGGTAAGTTGACCAGGCTGGGGTCAAATTTGTGATCCTCCTGCCTCAGCCTCCCAGCATATCCAGAAGTGATGGATGGATGGATGTGGTGGTCTTTTGGATCCTTGTAAGCCCACTTGGGTAAACACAGAGCCGTTAACTTTGGAATGAGGGGCAGGGCTTCTCAACTGGAAGTCATACGGCCTGCCAGGGGACACTGGGCAATGTCGGGGACGATCTGGGGCTGGGAAGGGGGAAGAGGTTGGGGCGCCACTGAATATCCTACAGCACTGCACGGCGAGGTCATTTGAAACAATGCAAACACCAAAAAGACCCAAACACCACAGCGCTGAATTGATCACGCACAGGGTGCTGGTTTGCAGTACAGCATGGAGCAGGGAAGCGGGGCTCACCTGGTCCCTGGTGTCTCCAACACGCATGTCTGGTCACAAGACATTCCCAGCACCCTGCCCACATCTGTGAAAAATCACAGGACCCCCCCAAATGCTGATTGGGGGGTCCACATAAACCAAAGTGAGTAGGCAAACGTGCAGGTTCAGAATCCTCCGTTACTGAGGATCCCCGTGGCAATGATAAAAGGGGTGAACTCTCTCCTGCCTCCCCTCCTTCCCTGGGAAGTTCACTGAGGAACGGTGGGGTGGGGCTGCAGGGTGAAAAAGAAAACAGTGACAAAAGCCCAGAGGACGTAGATCGGGGCTGCACGTAAGGAAGAACTTCCAAGAAGTCTGTCCACATATAGAATAGCTGCAACGGGAGGTGGTGAGCTCCCTGTCTTGAGAGGCATTCAAACACAGGCTTGAAGAGGATTGAACAGAGAGACAGTAGAGAGGCATCAAAATTAACAGGTGACACCGGTCATGCCAGCACTTTGGAAGCTGAGGCAGGAGGACTGGGAGTTTGAGACCAACCCTGTCTCAAAAAACAAAAAAGAAATTTAAAGTGGGTGGGCTGCTTTTCAGCTCATGTTCCCCAATGAGAGCCTGGGAGCCGGTGGCCCTCAGAACTGGACGTGACATTTCAGAAGCTGCAGGGTGAGTGCTGAACCGGGGGCGACTCACCCCAGATCAGGGGGTAAGGGAAACGAATCCCAGGGCAAAGCCGGGAAAGGGGCCTGCGTGCTGGGAGCTGGCCTCACCAGGTCCTCCTGAGCAACAGCAAGGTCAGCTTCCACCCCGTCCTGCGGAGCAGGACACCGAGACCCCCAGAAACTAGGTGGCGTGGTCCAGAGCGACACCGCGAGTCAGAGGAAGCCAGGGTCTGAAGCCCGGTCTGATGCCTGTGCACTTTGATCCTCACACTGAAGGGGGACAGGCACAGGAGAGTAGCCTGAATCTGCAAGGGTTTCACAGAACGCACACAGGCGAGCCACTCACACAAAGCGTCCTGCAGGCCCAAGAAGAGCAAGGAGCCTCTGCCTCTACACTGGAGAGAAATTCCTCAGTCCTGTGCAAAACCTCGCCTGCTCTGGATTCGCTTCCTTTCCTCTTCCCTGTCCTTCCCGTCCTTTCTTTCTGTACTAGACTGAGCCAGGAATTTTACACTGAGCTTTATCCCTGGAGCCTTTTTTAAGGTTTATTTTGAGACAGTCTCTATGAATTGCCCAGGCTGGGCTGCAACTTGTGATCCTCCTGCCTCAGCTTCCCAGAGTACTGGGATTACAGGCTTGCACCGCCAGGCCCGGCTCACTGGCTCTTGTAAAGTATGAGACCCTCTAGAGCCAGTGGTCCAGCCCTTGGTGAGGCTGTGGGTAGATTCCACTCCAGGGATGGGGGCCTGTGTACTCTGAGAGGACTAAAACCATGCCTTTATTTCCACATCCTCCAACAAAACCTCAAGTCTTCCTCAATTAAGAACACAGACAACACACTCTGCCAGTCTCAGCAAGCCCGGTGTCTGCTTCCTCCACAGAAATCACAGATATTTCCATATCTCATTGCAGTGCTGCAGATTTCTCGAAATAATGTTTATGCGCCTCATGATTTTGAAATTAGAGTAGTTAAGATCCACCGTCAGATCGCGCTGTGTAATGTGTTGATGAAAAGGCACCGATATGACGATATCACAAATTTGGCTTTTTAAAAATATTTTGATAACGCTATTTTGGTGTAACTGGCTTCTTTTGTTATCTTGCATATCACATTCTATGCATTTATAAGTATTATTCTGAGAGAGATGATACCAGTCTACCAAAGGGGTCTGTGGCCCCCTAAAAGCCCATGAAGCCAGCCTTAGAGTAAAGTAAATGGCTCGGGCAGGGCAGGGAGAGGCAACACCAGGGGGCACAGGCAGGCCTGGGGGTGCACTGAGGTCAAGGGGCACAGCCAGGGACAGGCCAGCAGGGGACCCCAAAACAGCTGGGGCTGAGGCTGGACCAAGGGTTTAGGGCCTGACAGCCTAGGGTGAAGCCGTGGCCCCTTCTCCGAGTCTTAGTCTCCCCCTGTGCCAGTGGGCTTACGACCGTGCGTGCCCCAGGGGGTGACTATAAGAAACTGATGAGAGGGCCGGGGATTTAGCTCAGTGGTTCTGCCGCCTGCCTAGAAAGCACAAGGTCCCGAGTTTGATCCCCGGTACCAAAAAAAAAAAAAGAAAGAAAGAAAAGAAACCAATGAGCTAATCCATTCAGCATCCACTTCAGTTGTACCTCTTCTCCAGGGAGAAGACCAGCAGAGGCAGAACAGAGAGACCGAGAGGTTTGCCTATGTTGCCCAGGCTGTCCTCAAACTCCTGGGCTTGGGCGATCCTCCCACCTCAACCTCTCAAGTAGCTGAGAGTACAGGCCTGTGCCACGGTGCCTGGCTTAATAATTAATGTTTTAATGACTACCGCTTGCTGAGCTCCTATCATTACGCTGGGGAATCTTCATCTATGACATGGCTTTGGCTGGCCTGAAAGCCCTGGGGTGGAACAGAAAGAGGTGGGGCAAAGAACCAAGGCAAGGAAAGGAGAGGTGGGGGTGGAATCAGAGGAGGAGGGGGAGGGAGACCAGATAAGGAGGCTCGGGAAGCCTGGTACACCCAACAGGGACAGGGACTCAGGCCCTTCCCCTCGCAGCCGCCTACCTCGGTGGCGAAAAAGCCTTTGGGCCGGTGCTTGCCCAGGGACGCCAGGCCTCCCGGCGCAGGGCTCTCGCTCGCGCTGATAGTCTGCTGGGCTGCAGCCAGTATCTCGTCCAGTTTGTCTGAGAGAGGCGCACACAGTGGGAGACAATGGAGTCTGACGCAGGGACAGAGCCGCACACAGGGGCAGGTGACAGCAAGGGAGGCCAGGGGGTGAGGGACCCGGCTGGGACATCTTACTGAGAGCCATCTGATACACTGTCCGCTTTTTCTCCATGCTGGGCACCGGCGTAGGAGGTTGCTCATACTCTGTGGGCAAAGGATACGGATGTAGCGCAAGAGCGCCCCCGCGAGGCGGGGCGGACCGGGCTGGCCAGTGGGCGTGGCCAATAGGTGCAGCCAGTGGGCGTGGCCAGCGAGCGCGAGTGGGGCCGTGAGGGTCCAGGGTCGGGGAGGGGCGAGTCCGCCGGCAGGGTCGGGACGCGGGGGCCCTCCCGCCAGTCCTGTGCCCACTCACCGCTCTTCTTCCTCCAGGGGGAGACTAGCCCGGGGGAGAGGCAGTAGAGGAGCCAAGAGTTAGGACGTCAGGGGGAGGGGAGGGGTCCCCTCTCTGGAACGCCCGCCTCCCTCGGGTCCTGGGGGAGTCAGGGGAAACTGGGACCCCCCAGGTCTCCTCGGCCCTGCCTAGGGGGAGGGGGTTGCCTTCCAGTGTTATTGGGGAGCTACTGGAAGGAGAGAGAGAGAGAGAGAGAGAGAGAGAGAGAGAGAGAGAGGGAGGGAGGGAGGGAGAGAGTCGGGGAGGAAGTCGGATGGATGGAGAGGGACCAGAAGGAAGGACAGAGTGACCCGCAGAGAGGGACACATAGAGACCCCTGAAGAGAGCTCAACAGAGAAACAAACGGAGAACGGACGAGTCATCCTTCAGACACCCCTTCCCAGTGACACACAGGCAGGCCAGAGTCCTGCCCACGGACAGGGGACAGGAAGAGGACAGGACCCCTGGTCACTAACAACACTAACGAACTCAAGGGACAATCAAGCCCCGCCCCCCGCCCCGGCCCTCTCCCCGGCAGCCCCGCAGGCTCACCCATTTCCTCCAGCTCGGAGGTCATTGACTTGGAGCGCAGGGAGATCGCTGGGGGCGGGAGCCGCTTCGCCTGCTGGGGTGCTGGAAAGCGGTGGAGGGGGTGGGAGGCCTCAGTAGTGCAGGGAGAGGCCTGGGACCCTCTGCCCCACAGGGCTCTGAGCCCTCGGAGGACAGCTCCGCAGCCTGCGGAGCCCTCCCTGCCTCGGTTTAAGCAGCCTTGGGCGGTGGGGCCTCCTGAGGGCCTGAGGCTGGGGGCAGTGGGGCTGGGGAGCACCTTTCTTGTGGACGGCCTCGTCCATGTCCGGGTGCCTGGTGACCATCACCACCTTCACCATGAGCGTGTTGCCCCCTTGGCGGATCATGTTCACCACCTGGCGGTGGCCGACCTTCACCACATTCTGCCCGTTCACCTGCGGCACGAGGCGGAGCGGGGGGCTGTGGGATTTGGAGTCCCCAGCCAAGTGGCCTCCGCCTCGCCCCATCAGTCACCCTCTCCGCTGCTGTACCCCAGGGCGCGTTGGGGGACAGCTCTGTGCCACCCTCGGGACCCCTCAGAAGAGCCTCTGGGTGGAATGGAGGAAGGAGGGAGAGGCTGGCTGGGGGCGCGCCGATGCCAAAGGAGAATGGGAGCTGGAGGGCTGCCGGTCCCGGCCGGCCGGGGCGTGAGGGGCCGGGGGCCTGTCCTCGGGTCGCTGGGAGGAGGTGCTGGCCGGACTCACCTCGATGAGGAAGTCTCCCATTCGCAGTCCAGCCCGCCATGCCACGCCCCCCTCGTCCACGGACTCGAGGTACTGCAGCGCCGGGAAGGCCGGGGTAGGGGTGAACTCCTCGATGGGGGTCTGCGCTGCAGACAGGGAGGAGCCGGCGGGGTCGGAGGGGAGGGGGTGGGGAGGCCGAGCAGGGGATGGGGCTCAGACCCAAGTCACAGAGGCCTCACCTAGCCGAGGGACCAGCACCGCGGGGTGGGGTGGTGGGCGGGGTGGGGTCCCTGCCTCTGCCAGGTCCCCCAGCCCTGCTTTCTGGGTCCGAGAGCCCCCTCCCGCCCCCTCGCCGGCCGGCACTCACCCTTGGCCCCCCGGAGCACGAACCCAAACCCCTCGCTGTCCCTCTTCTGCAGCAAGACTGTTTTCTCCTTAATGATGTAATCGCTGGCAGGAAGGCAGGAGGGAAGGGGCGAGAAGGCATCATGAGGCCCAGCACAGCACCCCAGCCCCGGCCCGGACTTTTCCCGGGACGTCCCTTCTCCACGCGGTGGCTGCACTGTGCTCCAGAGGCCCTGCCCGGCCTCCCCTCAGAGCCCGGAGCGCTCTCTCCCACTCACTGCTTCTTCAGTCAGCCAACCAGCATTCAGCAAGGCGTCACTGTCCCCGAGCCACTGCACCCAGGGCCCCAGAGGGCAGAGAGAGGCCCCCACATTACCACACAGCCAGGCCTGTGTCCCTGACAGCCACTTCCGGTCTGTGACCTTGAGCCCACACATCCACCTTTTGTGCCTCTGTTTCCCGAATAGGTTACACACCCTGCCCGACGGGGCTGTGGGGGAGCTCAGAAGGGGAAACGCGTGTAGTGTTTCACACAGAGCTCAGTAGGGCCTGCTCACTATCCTTAGATCAAGGTATTAAGTCAAGAGGACATGCGTGCTCAGGCAGGGTGCCCCACGTCTGTAGTCCCAGCACTCTGGGAGGCTGAGACAGGAGGATGGCAAGTTTGAGCCCAATCTGGACAACTTAGTGACTGAACAAGACCTTCTCTCAAGATAAAAATAAAAAAAGGGCTGGAGATAGGTAACTGAGTGCAAAGACCCTGTGTTCAAGAAACAAAATAAGGGCCGGGGATTTAGCTCAGTGGTTTCGACGTCTGCTGCACAAGGGCAAGGACCCGAGTTCGATCCCCGGTACCAAAAAAAAAAAAAAAGTTAAAAAACAAAATAAAACAAAAATAAAAGACAAATAACTTTTAATGACCTCCCTCTAAACCCCTACCATGTATACTGTATATAACACCCCCTGAGGTCCCAAGCCTATTGGAACACTGCTTATTTTGCACTATCCAATACAGTAGCCACTTAACTGCACATGACTCTTTTTAATTTAATTTAATTTTATTTTACTTTATTTTTTGGAGACAGGGTCTCTGTGTAGCCCAGGCTGGCCTCCAACTCATGGGCATCCTCCTGCCTCAGCCTCCCGAGTGCTGAGATTACAGGTGTGTGTCACCACTCTCAGCTTATATGTGGCTATTTTGATGGAAGTTAATCAATCAAAATCAAACATTCACATTCAATCAAACAATCAGTCACAGAGGCCGCTTTTCAAAGTGCCCAGTAGCTCCACATGGCTGGTGGCTTCTATGCAGGACAGTGCTGACCTAGAATGCTTCCACTGCCACAGGAAGTTCCAGGGGCCTTGAGATGCTAAATCACAGCTGTATCTCCTGCACACCATGGGAACTGGTGCTGTTGGTCCCATGAAAGCCACAAAGGCCCACCCACACATGTGGGTAGTGCTCACATGCCCGGTGAAGGTCAGAGACTGAAATCATCACCTCATCTTCACGCCTGCTCCAGCCTGCTCCCACAGCAGTCCCCCAAGCCTTGGGCCCACCACTGTATGCCCCAGAAGGCTCCAACCCCCGAGGTACAAGAGGAACACCCAATATGATCACCGCAGCTCCAGCCCCACTGGCTTCAGAATAGCCCTGGACACCCAGGAGCAGTCAGAATGCTCCCAGCCTTGCCCTGGGCACCCTTCGGTGGTGCCTGGAGCCAGTGCATAACTGCAGCTCCTCCCCCTGCATCCACCCCCCACATCCTAGGGCACTGCAGCAATGCCCAGACCCCCTCGGCATATCCCGGTGAGATCCATGCAGCTCCAGCACACTCCAATAATAGCCAAGTGTGCTCCCCAATTACCTACCCCCACAGATTCAGCAAAACAGCCCTCCACGAATACTCCAGTATATTTCAGTAACACCCCCACACATCCCAGTACGCTCCAATAATAACTCCCCCTCGCTCTGATCTCAGTGTATTCCCACAACACACCCCCTGCACACATCCCAGCACACGCCACTAATGCCTGCTCTGCTCCTGCTGTATTTCAGTGCTGCCCCCCACAGGCGCCTCTGTATTCTCCCAGGACCCCCACCACTCCCATTGTAACGCCCCTGCACTGTGCCCCAGGAACAGCTCCGTCCCTGCACCTGCGCCTGCACTGGCTCCCCACCCCACCTCTTCTCATGCCTTCCTGTCTCCACATTCACTGCATGGTGGACACAAACCCACCCCGGCCACTGCTCTCGCCCCAGGTTCATCCTGGCCCCACAAACACATCCACACCATGCCTGCCATGTCTTCCTCGCCCTGAGCTTGAAGCAGATCAAGAGCAGGACCTTGGTAGCCGGGGAGAGGCGGTGGCAAGAGAGGACAGAAGGGCAGGGAGTGGGAAGACAGAACGGGGCCAAGGCTCCGCCGGTGAATGGACAGGGGGTGGAGGTTGGTTCCAAGGTCACAGCGGCTGCTTCTGAGCATGGATTCTGCTGCACCCTCATCCCCACTTTGTCTTAGCCAAGACCCTGACAGCCTCCTCCAAGCCCTCCTGTCCCTGCGGCTCCCAGATCCTCCCCAGCTCTCCGGGGTCCCCAGCCGTGGGCAGTGCCGTCAGCAACCCTCTCTTCCCTCTTTCTTCGCTCCGGCCTCGCACCGCTATCTCTCCCCTCACCCCCAGATCATCCTACACCCCACACGTAGGCCTTCTTCCCAAATACTCCAAACCCCATGGAATCAGTAAAGGCCCAAGTCCGCAACAAGCTAAGAAGTGCACATGGGAGTGGGGCAATAGCCAGGCCCTTCATGGGTGGGTGTGTATGTGTGTGTGTGTGTGTGTGTGTATGTGTGTGTGTGTAAGTGTGTGTGTGTGTAGCTCAGCAGCAGGGCACTTGCTCGCCTAGCCTGGGTGAGGCCCTGGGGTGCATCCCCTGCACCGAAAAAATTTGAGAAACATTTTATAGGTAAACCTGTGAAACTTTAAAGTACCATCTCCAGGGCCAGGGATTTAGCTCAGTGGTTCCGCTGACTGCCCCACAAGGGCAAGGACCCGAGTTCGATCCCCGGTAGCAAAAAAAAAAGAAAAAAAGTACCATCTCCACTTCCCAAAGGAAGAAATAGAGGCACAGAAAGTTTAAAGAACTTGCCTGAGGTCTCACAGTAATATTCTTCGACAATATTAAAGAAAAATCCTGGGTGACTGCTGTAATAATATCCTGCACTCCACACTGCCCAAGGACCTTCAGTACACATCCATCTGCCAGGAGTGGCTCCAGCACCCAGACTGCGCCCCTAATTATGCCAGTCACAGAAAGTAGCACCTCTTCAGCTGTTGATGATCGCCAGTGCTGTCCCAAGCCCTTCACGTGGGGGGGGGGGCTGCCTGGTATTGCTCCCATTTTATTACCGGGCAAACTGAGGCACAGAGAACTGAATCCGCAGGGTCCTAACACCCCCAAATCCACAGCACCTCCGTCTCTCAGCTCCCATCCTGCACGGAGTGCAGCTCCTCTGTCCTCCCCGCTCAGCCTCACCAGTCCCCGGCCCGGCCCGAGGAGCCCCAACTTCCTGGCCGCCCTCAGCCCCCAGCGCTGCGTCCCTCTTCCCCGCCCGCCTCTCTGCGAGTCCCTGCGCAGCACGCGGCAGCTCCACACCACTCGGCCCGGCCCCGGCGCTCGGCGGGGTCCGTCACACCCTCACCCGGCCCAGTGTCCTGCCTGCTGTGACTTCCTCACCTCCGGGACGCCTCCCCACGCCCTCTCCCACTCCCCACACGGGGCCCTGCGGCCGGAAGCCTCCAGCGCAGCCTCTTGGCCAGCGCGGCCGCTCTTCCTACTTTTGCGTCCCGGCCTCCATCGCACCCGGCACCCGCTGCCGCCGCCGCCGCCGAGACTCGAGACTCGCAGCTGCACTCATTTGCATTCCCCGCGTCCGCCCCTCCCCTCCCCTCCCCTCCGCTCCGCTCCGCTCTCCGGGTGCTCTCGGTGCGCTGCCCGGATCCTCTCCACGCGCTGCGCCCCCCGCCCAGTTTCTCTTCTCAGCGCCCCCCCCCCGCGCCCTGGCCCGTTCCCCTGCCCTCTTCCGCCTCCCAGGCCTCTGCGGCCCTCCCCTCCCCCACGCTCGCTCCCCACCTCACGCAGCACCCCATTCAAGCTCCGTGGCACGGACTACCTGCCCGACAGGAGCTGCCACAGCGCTGTCCCCCAGGCCATCCCTCGGCGTCCCTGAGAGGCCTCTGGAGCCCAGCGGCCGGCTCCTCTCGCCGGTTCCCACGCGCGGAGACTGCGGCGCGTCCACTCCCCGCCCCCACCCGGAGGTCCCTCTCACACCCTCGGAGCCCACAGCCCAGAGCCCGCCGCTGGGCACCGTGGCCCCTTCCCGCGCTCCCCTCTCCGCCGCCTCCCAGAGCCCCCCACGGGAAGCCACCCCCTTCCCGTGGGGAGAAGTGGCGCACAAGCAGGTGCAGCTCCGCGCACAAGTCCAGGGGCCTCTCGGCACACGTGCTCCACGCGGGCCGAGGGCAGCACTGCTGGCTGGAGGGTCCCGAGCACGACCCCCCCGGGGGGGGCAAGGAGCACATGGGGACAGAAACACAGGGCTGGTGGGGGAGGGCCAGGCCGGGCACGGGAGCTGGGTGTTGGGAAACGCAGCCGCAGTCCCTGGGACAGATCCACTCCATCACACACACACACGCACACACACGCACACACGGACGCACACACACGCACACATACGTGCGCGCGCGCGCTCCAGACAGCCTCGCTGTGGCTCCAAGTCACACAGACAGACACTGCCACGCAGGGACACACAGATGGCCGCGGCCCGGGCAGGCTAGGAGCCCACCACTCCCCACCTCTCTCGGCCTCCCTCCCTTACACACAGACACACACAGGGCTGCGGGGAGCACACACGCACGTAGACACGGACACGCGCACACGCGCACAGTGACACGCAGCAGAAAAAGAGGAGGGGAGAGAGGCCGGGGGCGGGATGCGTGTGTGATGGGGGAGCTGTGAATGGGAGAGAGGGCCATGAATGGGGGGCTCTCCAACTCCAGGAAGAGGGGCGGGAATGGGGGATCAGAGCGACCCGGGCCTGAGGGGCAGCCAAGGGGGCTCCCCAGGGGACGGCTCCGGGAAGTGGGGGCGGCGGAAAGGACAAGTGGGTTCCAGCCCCGGAGTGGGCTCCTTTGGAGGACCTGGCCGGGGTAAGGTCTCAGGCAAAGGGGACAGGAGAGCCTGGAAGGGTCTCTGAGGGAATGGAGAGGCGCCCAGGGCCGAGGAGTGTGCATGGGGGGCTGGAGAGGGGGCCCCAGAGAAGATGGAGAGGCGCAGGGATGTCGAGAGGGGCCTGAGAGGGTTTAGCGCGGGGCAAGGTAACGCGAGAGCAGGCCCGGGGTCCGAGAGACCCGGCCTGGGGCTCGCGCCTTGGGGAGGGTCGTCCTCGCGGCGTGGGAAGGGGCGGCGCTGGGTTACCTGTAGATGTACCAGACGCTGCGCCGCCGGGGCCCCAGGGCCGGCCAGCTGGAGGAGAGCGCGGAGGGCGGCTGCGGCAGGGAGCCCCCGCCAGGGCCGCCCCCGAGCCCCCCGCCGTCGCCGCCGACCGCAGACAAAGCCATCGCCGCCGCGGCCCCGGCCCCGGCCCGGGTCCCGCCGCCGCCGCCGCCGCCGCCGCCGCGGCGTCCCCGTCCCCGCTCGGCCGAACCCCCGTGTCCGGGCCCCCAGGCCCCGCCTCATGCTGACCCGCGCCGGGAGGGGGAGGGGGCGCGCACCCCCCCCCGCGGGAGGGAGGGCAGAGCCGGGGGGCTCACATGCCGGAGGGCGCGGGGGCGCGGGGCCGGCGAGCGCGAGGACCGCGGACGGCGCAGGCTTCAGCACCGCGGACAGCTCCGCGCGGCGCGGCGGGCGCGAGGCTTTAACCCCTTGGCGTCCTGCGCCGGCGGGCGGAGGGGCCGGCGGGGGGAGGGGGCCGGGAGGGGAGCGCGGGCCCCCTCGGCGGGAGGAGGGGGAGGGGCGAGCGCGGGGGGAGGGGAGGCACTTCCGGTCTGCCCCCTGTCCCCCTCCCCCCTCCGGAGCCCTCCCGCGCAGGTGCAGAGCGAGGGAGCGCGCGGGGAGAGGGACGCACAACACCACCGAGACGCCAGAAACCGCGTGCAGCAGGGACGCGCGGACCGAGCCCCACTTCCAAGGCAGGGACATCAGGGGACACAGAGGCCCCAGGAGGGGTCGCACAGCCCACCACCACAGACCGACACACAGTCTGGATCGGCCCCCAAGGGAAGGCCAGGTCCTTCCCGAGCCACCCCGACCGAGCCCTCCCGGCCAAAGCTGCTCCGGCGGAGGGACGCGCGCACTGCGCCCACAGGAGAGCGGGGACCCCCAGCCCGCGCGGGGAGAAGGGGGGGCATCGCCACGAAGGAGGTACACGCAGGATGCTGGGGGCCAGCCTTGGGGTGCAGGGCACCCAGGCCAGGCCGCTGCAGACAAGGTCGGGAGCGCAGGGGAGGCAGGAGGAGGAAGGGGTCAGACAGACAGACACAGCAGCACAGGGAGCCCAAGAGGGCAGCAGAAGGGCTGCGGCGAGCAGGAGAGAGGACGTGAGGCCAGAGGGTGGCAACCGCCCGGTGAGCGAGAAACCCCCAGACCCAGGCGAGGAGACACCCAGAGACTAGTCAGAGACAAGGAACAGGCCGGCGGGGGACTCGGGGTGAGGGGACCTCGATACTCACCCAGTGCCCAGAGCCGGAAACGTCCCAGGTGAACACGCACTACCAGTCAAGCACCTCGGACCCTCGGGCTTGGGGTGGCACCCCAGCCCCACCTCCCCGCGTTATTCTCTCTTCTCCCCTCCCCCGACCCATCCCCACGGGCCAGAACACAGACACATAGGTTTGGACACATTTAATGGAAGGACGCTACGAACAAGGGGTCCCTTCCCAGGATTTGGGGGGCGGCGGAGGAGGGTGTCATCTTTCAGACACGGAATTATGGCCCCTCTGGAAGACCAAGCCCACAGCCCTCCTCTCCTCTGCTCTTCCCTCCCCCAACACTCCAGGTCCTGAGCTCCAGAGCTGGAGGGATGCACAGGCATGCACACTCTGACATGCACAGGAGGACAGGTCGGGACAGACGGCCACCTGTGCCCATGTAAGCAGACACACAAACACTTCTGGCAGTGCTGTCCACAGACACGGAAGCACAGATATGTGCAGCCAGCTCCACAATGCACAAACACACCTGGATCGACAGTGTGGGATGGAGCCTGGGGTCCAGGGTGTCCATCCAGGGATTTCCAGCCACACATGCACAGACGCGTGTCATGCCCACCCACAGAGACGCACGTTCACGCCTGTGGCCTCCACTCTGGCCGTGTGCACGTACACACTCACACACCCCGAGGCACCCGCCCTTCCCATCTGGACCCTGGGCCCCCCCCACCTCCCTGGGCCAATCCCATCCATCAAGCTTCTGAAGCGAGTCAGCCAGGGCGGGGAGAGGCATCAGTGTGCCCTTCTGCCCACGCTGCCCCGCCCTCTGCTGGCCCCACACACTAGTGCAAGGCATGGGGTGCACACCCACTTCCGCTGCATGGGACCGCACAGACACAGGGGCACAGGGAGGGCCCAGGACCCAACCAGACACACACACAAGCACCCCCAGCAACCCCCTGCCCGCACCCTCCCATTAGTCTGGGCTTCCCCAGAGCCGGACGGCCTCAGTGGCTGTCCAAGATGGTTTGGGGCTGGGCTGTGTTGTCTGAAGCTAACTCTGCCTTCTTCCACCCTTCCAATCCCTTCAAATATTAGAAGACAAGAAAGGGGAAAGGGGGATTAGATGGGGTGGGTATACTTACAGTGTGGGATGTGAAGGGAAGTTCGGGTGGTGGGGCGCCTGGCAGGGTGAGGACATTTACCTTGGGGCATCGAAGCTGTCGTAGGAGCCCACGGTATAATGTCGGAAGAGTCTCTTTGCCTTGTCGCTGCGGCTCTCTGCAGAGGGACAAGGGACAAACTTGGAGCCTCCCTTCGCAAAGCACAAGCCTGCCTCCCCATTCACTTCCCACCCCCACCCCCTTGGTCAGGAGGGAGAAGGGAAGGGCCGTGGGTGCCGGGGCTCCTCATTACCTTGCTTTCCCTCCTGGGAGCGGTTTGCCACCTCTTCCAGGCAGTCAGAGGGGAACCAGCCTACTCGACCTTTGACCTGCCCTTCCCAGAAGCCTCCTTCCCCGATGCTGAGCACTGCAGGGTGGGACACAGAAATGTTTGCAGGTCCTGCATTGCCCCCCAGCCCCCAGGCCTGATGCCCAGCCTTCCCGGAATTCCCAGCTCATGGCCCGAGGACACCCTTAAGCATGAGAGGATGGTGGAGAACCCGAGTCTCGCCCCTCTGCAGTTTGCCCGGTGGAGAAAAGGACTTCTTCCCCTGTCACGGTCTGCCCAGCTCAGGTCGGGCTTGGGTCCAGAGTGGTTCCCGTCACCTCCGGGCACTGGCCACAGCCCGCTTGTATGCCACCCTTAACCTCTCGAGGCCCTGTGTGCACTTGGGCAACCATCATGAGCACAGACTCTCTTCCACCATCCCTACCCTGCCACTTCCTGAAGTCACCTTGCCAGCTAATCTTTCCTCATTTGCTCCCAGGCCTCTCCCGCTTCCGCCCCTTGGCCTCTCCTGGCTCTAGGAGGGAAAGGAGATTAGACTAGCCTCTTTCCTCCTGCCTCACCGCAAGACTGGAGGGCACTTCCCACCAGGCCTGCCTGCCAGTTTCACCCAGCCCTTCCATGTCTGGTACCGAAGTGCAGAGAGGGATGACAAGGACAGTGAGTTTATCCACTGATGAGGAAACCTGGGCTAGGAGAGCTAGCGTCCCAGGGTCAAAGCGGGAGCCGCTGGAGAAGCCGCATTTGCATGTGGGCCAGTCAGCGCCGCAGCTAATGCTGTAGTCACTAATGTGTTGCTAACTTTTCATCCAAGGGCCTTCTGCCTCTGCTGGCAACAGTGATGCACACACGGTCTTCCATGTCTCCAGCATTTTCAGACTGTCACCACACAGCCCTTCACATATGAGATGTGATCAAAATATATGCTGAGTGTTAAAAACTTTTAGTACAGGAAAAGACGCACTGCTGTGAATCCCCCTCAGAATACTCCTTGCTTAGAGCACACTCATCCCATCATCCTGGCCTTTCTGAGGCAGCTCTGGAAGCCCTCTTTCCTGAGACTCTTTGTGAGGTGCAATCAAAAATACAGCGAATGGGGCCGGGGATTTAGCTCAGTAGTTTCACCTCCTGCTGCGCAAGCGCAAGGACCTGAGTTCGATCCCCGGTACCAAAAAAAAAAAATACAGCAAATGCTGCTGCCAAGTGTCATCCAGTGGAAAGGCAGGCTGGTGAAAAGGCCACGGTGTGTCCTTACCACCTTATTCATCGGATCTAGCACCATGAGGCTTCTGGCTCTTCCCCAAAGTCAAAATGGCCATAAAAGGTCAACATTTATAAGAACCAAGATACAGCATGTACAGGTACAAGCACCCAATGATAAATGCAAATGTACTGTATGCCTAAAATGTAATAATAAATGGAAAAAAAATAATAAATGGAAAAAATTTTTAAAAGTCAACATTTTTGATCAATTCAGGACATTGAGGCCACCTGAGCACAACTAAAGACACTCACGAAAGAGGACTCCAGAACTGTTGCAGAAAGCGGCAACAATGGGATAAGTGTGCTCAAAGTGAGGGGGGCGTTTGGAGGGGGATTCAGGCCAATGTGTCTTCTTCTACTGTAATAAATTTTATTTAAACACTCAACTTCGTTTTTGATCACACCTTGAACCCTCCCCTACTCCCAGGTAGGGAACAACTGGTTCCCATTGAAGCTGACGGTAACAGAAAAGTTCCTGCCCCAGGAGTTGGCTGGTGGCCACCAGATGCTTCTCGCTACACAAACTGACTCTCTGGGGAATCAAGATGGGAAGCTCAAGGTCATGGTCCCAAGCGGGAGATGGGCTGGCCAGGAGTCTGGTTTCTTGGCCAGATGAGACTGCTGGGCTGTCTTGCAGTCCCTCACTGGTCCACTGAACAAATACTTATTTCAGGCGGATCATGATGAGGTGGCAGAGTCGGCCCTGGTGAGTGCAGGCAGCTCAGTTCCTCCCCTCCTAGAGCTCACAGACCAGAGGGACTTCGGGATCAGAAACCAAGGCCGGAGCTCAAGGGGAAGGAACAGGGCAACTGGGAAGAGGCCATATGAAGGCACAGAAGCCAGGCAGCGAAGGGGCCCTGAGTCCCTGAGGATGCAACATGTAAGCTGAGACCTGAGGGATCCCGACAGCTGAGGAACCAGAGTGAGGAAGGGCTGCTCAGGCAGGAGTAGGGTGTCACAAGAGGCTAGAGAGGGACACGGGGCATCGGGGGAATGGCAAGAACAGGAGGTCCCCAGGGACCTCAAGGTGGGTGAAGGGACAAGAGGGCGGGGCGGGATCCCGAGGGGAGGGAGAGGGAGCTCTGTGACGCCCATGGCTGGAGGCCACCTCCTACCAGTCCCCCTCTCAGTTATCCTCTGGCAGGTCCTGAGGCAGTTAAGTCCCTTGTCATGAAAGAAGGGGATATAAAAACCAAGGGCTGGGCCGGGATTTAGCTTAGTGGTGCTGGCGCCTGCCTGGCAAGTGCAAGGTCCTGAGTTCGATCCCTGGTACTGAGAAAAAAAAAAAAAGCAAGGGCAGCCCTCAGCATGGTGGTGCACATCTGTAATCCCACCACTCTGGGAGGCTGAGTCAGGAGGATGGCAAGTTTGAACCCAGTCTGGGCAACTTAGAGACTCAGCAAGACCTGTCTCAAAAAAAAAAAAAAAAAAAGGAAAAACTAGGGATGTAGGGATGCAGCTCTCAGGGTTCCATCTCTAGTACTGCCCCCCAACAAAAAATACCAAGACGGGGCTGGGGATTTAGCTCAGTGGCAGAGAGACTGTTTCCCAAGTGCAAGGTCCTAAGTTCTATCCCAGGTGCCAAAAAAACAACAAACAGACAAACAAACAAAACCCCAAGAGAACAGTGTGTCCTCTTCCTGTAGAGAACTTTTGTGCTTGTGGTTTAAAAAGGCAATGGGAGAGTCTGCTGGGTCTCACACTGACCTCAGTTTCTCTTCCTTCCTTCCTTCTCTCCCCCTCCTCTACCTCCCAGGCTCCCTGGCTGTGATGGAGCTGCACAGGCAGCGTCTGCATTCAGCCCTTCACTCACCCTCTCAGCATCTGGCCATTCATTTGTTCTGCAAACCAGCCCTGGTGACCCAGCAACCAATGCCTGTGACCTCCTCACCTGCAGGAACTCAGGCTACCAGAAGACCCTCTGCTCCCTGAATACCTGAGGAGCCCTCCTTGAGGCTGCCTCCCAGGTGGGACCCTCCCTGCTCACTGGGCGCCCTGGGCCTTTCCTCTGAGTGCCTGGAGTAGGGCTGGCCCTCGGGCACAGCCTGTTGGTAGAAAGCATGGATCTGGGAGCTTTACATGACTCATTGTCTTCACCAGGCTCGAATTTTACAGATGAAGAAACTGAGGCCCAGAGAAGTGACGTGCCTGGGGCCACCCCACTAGGAAGTACTGGAGCCAGGCTTTGAAGCGGGCAGGTGGCTCTCAGCTGCTACACTGCTTAGCCCCCTGGGCAGGTAGTCTGATGCAGAATGGTTCTTCCCCTGGAACTAACCACAGCACCCCTCCCAGGCTCGACAGTGCTCACTGGGGATGACCCCCAAAGGCCTGAGGCAAGGGCACTAGAAGAGGAGAGAGGGACAAGGGCCCAGGACTGCAGCCACCCCTGAAGGGGCCTCGGGCTGAGCTCCATTTCTCAGTGAGAACCCCAGCTGGGGGAGATGCAAGTCTGGCTACTTGGGTTCATGGTTCACGAAGGGAGCAGGAAGCCCAGCTCCCATGGGGGACCTTGGGCAGGTTGCTGCACCACGTCCTTGCTCTGAACAGCAGGGCTCCTGACATCCTCCGGAAAGGGCCAGCAGGAGTCTAGAGACCAAGAGGTGAAATGCTCCGCCTACGGGTCCCAAGAATCCTTGTGTCCCCTCCTCCACCTGACTGGGTCACCTCAGCTACACTTTCTGCTCCTCCAAGGCAGAGGGCCTTCTTGGGGATCCCTGAGGTCCCCAGAGTGGGTGGAACTCATTCTTGGTGCCTGAGGCTCAGATCCTGGACGTCTCCCCAAGAGCAGGGCTCACCTGGCCCTTTAGCCCCTTCAGCCCTGCCCGGTTACCTTTGATCTTCTCGCCCTTGCTCAGGGAGATCTCGCCCTCGCCTTGGGCCTGGTACGACTTCACAGCCATGAAGGAGCGTCCAGGGACTGCTGAGTAGAGTTTCCTCCTTCGGCCTCGGCTGCCCAGGGAGCCCCCAGGACCCCCGGAGCCCCCCGTTCCCCCGGCAGGCCCTTCCCGGGGCGTCCCGCTGGAGCTGCAAACACAGAGGGTGTGAGAGGCGGGCAGAGAGGAGGGAAGGGGCATGTGCAAGGGGCCCTTGGGTGGGAAGAGCACTGAGCATGGGGGGGGTCGTTGAGTGGGTTTCCCGGCCCCGGCATCCTGGGGGAAGAGGGCATTTGGGGGCTTTCTCTGCCGGCCCGCTGCTGCCCCCCAGCTCCCACTCCTGCCTCTGGGCTTCCGGCTCTGCCCCCTCCCGTGGTCCTGCACGCACCACCTGATTCCATTTCCTGGAGCTGACCTGGGGCTGTGTCATCCCCCAGGTCACGAGCTTCCACCTGGGTCAAGCCCAAGCCCTCTGCCTGCCATCCCACCCCTCCCCGCCCCAGGATGGTCCATCCCCCTGCTGGGACCTCTCCATCCCTCTCATCCTCAAGTCTGGACAGACCTCCCACAGCCTGGCCCCTCCTGCTGGCCTCCCTCTAGTCTCTCCCTGCGGTTCTATCAATCTGCAGGGGCTAGAACCGACACTCCGGGGGGCTCCCGGCCCCTACACACCTGCCATGACACATGGCACGTGACACATTTGGGGACAGTAGCTCACAATGGCCTTGTGTTACACAAGGGACAAGTAGGGACAGGGGACCTGCCGCCAGCTCAGGGCAGCAGGTGGGCAGCCGGGCTGGCCTCGAGGCCAGTTAAGTCCCAAGGAGGGTGCGAGGCTTGGCTGGGGGCTGGGGGCCAGGGCCAAGCCCTCCTACCTGGGCCGTCCTCGGGGTTGCCTCTTGGCATCCTCGGGGTGCCTCCCTCGGGATGGGGACCGGGCCCTGGCGCCCCGAGGGCTGCTGGCACTTCGGAGGGTCCCGCTGCTGAGCTTGGTGCTGGGGGCTGAGGGCTGTGACTGGACCTGGGGCCCTGAGGTAGGGCCCGGGGCCCCGGAGGGTGAGGGCCCCGGGGCAGAGAACACCATCCAGTCGGGCAGCGCCATGCTGGTGTCGCTGTTGGCCCTGAGCAGCGCAGGGGGCACTGTCAACCCTGCCCCTGGGGGTCCCCGTCGCCGAGCCGCGTACTTTGGGGACTCCTGAAAGGGCACTGAGAGGCCAGTTGGTGGATCGGTGATGGACGGGACAGGGAAACAGAGGCAGGAGGGAACCATTCGGGCAGGAGAGGCATGGGAGAGAAAGATAGAGATGAGAAAGAGCAGGGGCCTAGAATCCCCCGCTCCTCCATCCATCTGGCCCCCTACTCCAGCCTGGGCCCCTCAACCCCACCATGAACTAGTGGGCAACTCCACGGTTGAACCCCAAGTCGTCCCAGCTCCCCCTCCTCACCCACATCCTGCTCCCGATGGTTCCGGATGAGCTCCCCTAGCTCGAAGTTCCCAGCAATCACTGCCACCTGGAGAAGGGGTCCGGGTGGCAAGAGAGGGAGGAAACACCCTGAGGTTCCCCAAACCAGCGACCCAGCCTTCCCTCCCCCAAACTGAACTCCCTCCCAGCATTCCTTGCTGTCCCCTACAGCCCCGACCTGAAAGGGTGTCTGTCCGCTATTATTCTTCACATCCTTGTTGGCCCCTCGATACAGGAGGATCCTGGCGCAGGTCTCCTGAGGATGGGAGCCGGAAGCACGGGACACAGGGAAAAATAACCAAAGGTCACTGTGAGCAGATTCTGGCATCGGAACCACGCTAAGAACTTCAGGAATGATCCAACCCAAATCTGAACGGCCTAGAGCAGCAGCCCCGAGCCAGAGGCTCTGAACACTGTAAATGCAAGGGCACATGAGCTGGGTGTACGAAATACAGGCAGGGTTTCAAGGACTTAGTGTGCAAAAAAAAACCCCAACGAATAATTTTTATATTGATTCCATGTTGAAACGGTAATAGTTAAGATAAGTTGGATGAAATAAAGTATGTGACTAAAGTCAGTGTCACCTGACACTTCCTCCTTAAATGTGGCCACCAGGATGCAGGAGATTAAGGACGTTTAGTGGCCGTGGCCAGGCTTGTGTCTGGCTGACAGTGCTGATCTGAAGCAGGGTCTTGGGTCTGTGATGCTCTGCCCGGCAGGGTGTTGAGCAGCCTCCTGGCTTCTACCACTAGATGCCAGCAGCAGTCCCTTCCCCGGCCCTGACAACCAAAGTGATCTCCAGACTTTGCTAAGTGTCCCCTAGAGGGCGGAAGCGAGGAGAAGGCTACACCGCACCGGGTGCTGGGACTTGAGAGGCGCAAGCTCCCTCTTGGAGTTGCCTGCCAGCCCCGCGAGATGGAAATGATTGTCCCTATTTTACAGATGGGGAACTAAGGCTCCCGAAGGAGCTCAAGGTCACACACTCGATGGGTGGCTGAGGGCACTCAGATTCCAACTCAGGTGTCTGACTCCAAGGTTTTTTGGGTTTTTTTTGGTACCAGGGATCGAACTCAGGACCTTGTGCTTGCGAGGCAGGCGTCAGAACCACTGAGCTAAACCCCCGGCCCAAGGTTTTTGATCTTGTTTTTTCTTTTTACTTTTTTTTTTGGTACCGGGGATCGAACTTGGGACCTTGCGCTTATGAGGCAGGAGGCGGAAGCACTGAGCTAAATCCCCGGCCTGAGGTCTTTGATCTTAACCTCACACTGCCAGCCCCAGGAGGAAGGAGGGGGCACATCCTGGAGGACAGAGGGCGGGGACCGGGCAGTGGGGACAGGCGCGCCATCTTCACCCAATCAGTCCCTCAGCGATGACAATCGTGCCTCTCCTTCGAATTCTCTGGCTGAAACCTACGCCCTGGCCACACTTTCGAGGGTCTCAGCCGAGCTGTCTGCCCTGGCCCTGCCTTCACCAATTTCACCTTCTACCGCCTTGGCTGGATCCTGGGGCTGCAGCCCACACCGGCCTCCTGCCACAGTGCCTTGGGCCTGCTGCTCCCCTGCTTGGAACCCTCTCCTCCTAGATCTGTGCACACCTTGCTTTCCTACTTCATTCGGCTTCTTGCTCAAATCCCACTTCTTCAAGAGGCTGTCTCTGGCCTTTCTGACTGAAAGAATTCCCTGGGCTTATTCCTTTCCATTTACTTTTATGTGACCCTCTGGTATATGCCAGGCATTCTTCTAAGTCAGTATCAACTCATTTTCTTCACAACACCACCCTGAAATTCCATTTTCCATGTCACATGCCTCTCTGGTGTCTCTCCTTTCTTATATGGTGAGTTACACTGGAGCAGGATTTTGTCTGTGCACTCGACATCTGGAGTAGTGCTGGCCCCCGGGATGCTGCATAAACAGTCAGCTGGGGGCAGATGCCCCCTTCCTTGGCCTGGCCAGCCCCAGCCTGCCTGGTCCACTCTGGAACAGGCTCCAGCTCAGTTCCACTCTGGCTCTCTGATGCTAAACTACAAGCAGCTCCTTATTTCCCCACTTCCACAAGTATCCTCCAAGGGGCCGAGTACAGACTTCTCCGGGACAGGCTCAGAGAGGGCAAGTCCCATGCCTGGGGCCACGCACCCAGTGAGCTAGCGGTCAAGACTCGAGCCTGGCCTTCTGATCCCTCCACAAATGCATGGCTCAGTTGCCAAGGTCACTCTCTGGACAGCAGTTACTTGGTGTTCTAGGCGTGCTGTGAGGGGTGAGCACGTGTGCCAGCCATGCTGTTAACCACTGCCACATGCACGTTTGCAGACTGCCACCTGAGGCACAGGGCCGGAGCACAGAGCACCAGCCTGCCCCCTTCCTCCTGTGCTGACCAAACTGAGCAGACAGCTAAGTCTCAGTCAGTGGCTCCCTCCACTGGGTGCAGAAGCTCTGTTTACTTACAAACTAACGCTTATCTCACGGGATTGCGATTATTTGTTTACACATCTGCCTCCCCGCCAGACTGCGAACTCCCCCCACCCTCCCAGGGCACACGCTGCCTCTGAGTCCTCTCGAACCCCCAGCCCTGCGCCCAGGCACACAGTAGGTGCTCAATCAGTGTGCATGGAAAGGTTGAGGGTGGAGCTGCCAGCCAAACTTCACTTGTTCAAACCCATTCATTCATTCACAGAGTCGTGCGACTGCTGGAACAAGGAGATACCTGTTGAACATTGCGAGCCAGGCATCTGCACAGTCCCGGAGGAAATCAAGACAGCTAACCCATCATTCATTCATTCCTTCATTCATTCATTCCGTAAGGATGCAGCCAGCCTACTGTGCCCAGTTCATGAGACTCAGCCCCCACCCTGGAGGCATTCGAGGCCCAGCCCTGACCATCCTGCCAGGGCTCACACAGGCTCCCCAGGGGCCAGCACAATCGAGAGCCAGTAACGGTCAGCCCTGGGCCTGTGTCCAGCCTGGGTGGAGGAGAAACAGAAAGTGAGCTTGCGTGTGTTCGGCCTGTGCCATTAGACACCACGCTGAGCGAGGCCTCCTCCGAGGGGTGGGCATGAGCTACTGACCCGTTCACAGAACAGAAGAAGGACGCGGGGGGAGGAAGCGACCCACTCTTCTGGCCTGCTACATGTAACTGCGCCTGCTGGATCATTCTCTGTGTGACATTTCCCCCCACTCGGATGAATGGCGCGTCTCCTGCCTGACACTGGCAATGACCATCATAATCACAGTCATCATCGTTATGGCTTGCTTCTGGGGAGGAGCCCTTCAGTCCATGATCACTCAGCCTTTCAGCCAGCTGATGGGATGCCATCTGCAGGAGGGGCTTCGAAGGGGGCTTGTCAGAGGCCCCTTCACCTGCCCGATGTGGGGCTTTCTCGCCTGGGGCCATGAGGCCTGTGTCAGGGAGCAGGAGACTCAGCCAGCGGGGAGGGGATGCGCCGGGCCCTGCTGCTTCAGTTTGACAAACACTGAGTCCTCCCTCGGCGCTGAGCATACTGCTCACTGCCACACGGCAGCACGTGGCCACCTGCCAAGTACCCAGCACTGCAAGTTCTCGTGAGGCAGAAGGGGCTGGGGCTGTTCCTGAAGGCTTCCTGGAGGGAGGGGGCCGGTGGGCCAGCAGCGTCACGCCAGGCCCTGTCCCCCACCCCCACGTGCCCGCCGCAGCCCTACAAGGGCAGGGGCAGCAAGAAGTTGGAGGAGGGCTGAGGTCCCGAGGGGGCACCGCCTGGGATCGCCAACGGCTGTCCCAGCTCGCTCTGCGAGACCTCCTGTCTGCTCATCTTGCTGGCTCTCTGGGGATCTGCCAGGGTGGGGACCATCTGGGGCCCGTCCACCCAGCCCTGAATTGCCGAGGGGACAACACATCCTCTCGCCTGTGGACTCTGCCTTGGCCTTTCCTGTCCCCTGATGTGGCAGCGTGCAGAGTCCATACATACTGCTGGCTGGCTGCAGACACATGGCAGATGGGGCTCCCGAACCCTTCCATGGCTGGTAACAGCCCTCGCTCTGCCCCTCTGCTCTTTTGCACAGGCTGTGCCCTGTGGCTGGAGGATCTTCTTCCCCCTCTGCCCAGTCGACTCCCCCCTCATCTTAACAATGGTGGCATTCTCCAGGATGCCAGCTCCACCCAAGCCCAACCCAGATAAGGGTCCTGAGGGAACCTGGACTCCCCTGATGTCTCTCAGAGCTCTCTGCATTGTAAGGGCTGTAAGAGCAAGGGATGTCACCTGGCCCTTGCTGGACCATGAACTCAACACTTTGTGCCCAGCAGCCAGCTCTGGGCCTGACACAGGACAGGTGCTCAGCCTGTACCTGATGGAGAGATGGAGGGAGAATGGATGGGTGGACAGGTAGATGGACAGGTGAATGGACGGATGGATGGATGGGTTGGTGGGCGGATGAAGAATGGAAACTGAGGAGCAGAGGGTGCAGTGGCTGGCAGGCTGGCCCTGGGGAGGTGTCTACAGGTGGAGGGGTGGGCGGTGGGTGTCACTGCCAGGACAGACCTTGTTGTAGAGAGCACAGATGTGCAGGGCCGTGTTCCCCGAGGCATTCTGGGCTCCAGGCTCAGCCCCGTAGAAGAGCAGGTGCTCCAGGTGCTGAGAGTGGCCCCGCTGACAGGCCTGGAGGCACGGGAGCAGAGGGATCAGACCCGGCCACCTTGCCGCCTTCCGGCCCCTCCCCTGAGGCCAGAACCCCCAGCATGCACCCTTTCTTCCCCTCCCCTCCGCTCCTGGGCAGGGAGTGAGGGTGTCAGCTGCACAAGCCTGAACGTCCCTGCTAAAGCTGGGGTGCCCGTCTGGCCCTGCAAGGGGCCGAGGCCAGGCCCAGCCACTCAGGGACCGCACTGCCTAGCCTCCTAGCCCACCTTCTCCTCTGTGGGACCCTGCTGTTCTCACCCCACCTTCTGTGGGGACCCTAGCACCTGGATCCCGGCCCAGGCGCCTGATGCCTCAGGGCCCGGGCTCCCTCCACCCTCCACGGAGCCTGGAGCACCTGGTGAATCTCCTGCCAGCCATTCTCGTCTGCTATGCCCAGCTGGGCTCTGTTGTACAGAAGCAGCTCGCAGCAGCGGGGGTCCCCCCCCACCATGGCGGTGTGGAACAGAGGGGTTAGGCCCCGGCGGTCCTTGTAGTTGGGGGATCCCCCGAGGTCCAGGAGTGCCTAGGGAGTGTGTGGGGGGGGACAGAGGACAGTCACATGAGAACTGAGGAGGGGAGTCCTGGTGACCCACACTGACCTCCACGACACCCTTTTGTGACCCTGAGCCAGGCCCTTCCCTGCTCCGGGCCACTCCCCCCCTCATGAACAAGGGGCCAGGGGAGATTCCTCGAGAGGACCCTGATGCTCTGACTCCCTGCTCCACCTCCTCTTGTGGGCGGCCATGGGTGGGCCAGTGGGGACGTCAGTGGCCACAGATGTTAGCAGGGGACAAATGAGACCATGGGGTCCGGACACAAGAGGTCCCCTGGCCAAGACCAGAAGCCCAAAGATGGGGCACAGAGGGCACCTGAGACAGGCAAGCTTTGGGGGAAGGCAGGCCCTGCACCAGCCTCCCTGAGATGGGGGTTGGGCAGGGCAGGGAGCAGCCCCGTTGAATGGGTGGCTCTGAGCATTAACGTGAGGTGAGGAGGGACTGACAGCAGCCCAAGCGGGGAAACCCTGCAGAAGACTGTCCATGGGAGCTGGTCTCCAACAGCATAGTCCAACCCGGTGCCCACACAGGGCCAGTGAACCCCAGGAGCTGAAATTTTAATTTAATTTAATTTAATTTAAATTAATTGAAATTTAAATAGTCTCATGTGACCAGCAGCTAACGGATCAGGCAGTAAAGACCAAGCGCGTGAGCGTGCATGCGTGCGTGCGTGGATGGAGCTTCAGGGTGAGTGTGCATCGGGGATATGTGAACAGCATCTGTTAGACAGGCATGGTGTGGCCCATGCTGCGATCCCAGCTCTCTGGGAGGCTGAGGCAGGGGGACCCAGCTCAGGCAACTTAGTGAGGTGTTGTCTCAAAATAAAAATGGAAAAGGGCTGGGGCTGTCCAGTACTGGGGGGAGGGGGAGTCCTGCAGTTTGTGGGGAAACAGGGCTGGGAAAGGGCATTTTGGTGAGGTATGTGAGCAAGGGGCTGTGTTTGTCATGAGGGAAGGGGGGGAAGCACTGGTTAGAAAGGGTGGCCGACGGTGGGGCATTCAGCTCAGTGGCACGGCACCTGCCTCAAAAGGTCCTGAGTTCGATCCCTGGTACCAGGAAAAAAAAAGAAAAAAGAAAGGGTGGCTGAAGGGTGGTTTCAGGGTGTGTCGGTGGCACAGCGGGGAGCACACTGTTTGCGGGCAATGAGTGGGGTCAGAGAGGAGCCTTTCTGGGGCTGCAGCACCATGCCCAGCTAAAGAAGGCTATTTTTACAATCAGAAATTAAAAAAGTGGGGTTTGAGACAGAACAAAAAGAAAAGGAGAAGGGACCCGGCTGGGGTGGGAGGCCAGCCTCACCGTGAGCGCCAGGCAGTGTCGGGCACACGCGGCCTTGTGCAGCGCTGTCATGCCATCCCGGGCCCGGAAGTCAATGTGGGCTCCACCCAGGCACAGAGTTCGAATCACCTCTACAGAGCCTTCAGTCTGGGCCGCTAGAGTCAAGGGGGTCTCTGAGGGGCGAGAAAGGCTGGTCATGTGCAGGCCTGTGACCTTCCCGGCCTTCCCCGCTCCCGGCTCCCACTCCTTGGCCCCAGCTCAACACCCACAACCTGAGCTGTGGCCTCCCTCTCAGAAGGGTGACAAACTGGGACTGGCACTGGCAAAAACTGATCTGGGTGCGGATGTTCCGCCCAGGCCTCTACCTCCCGAATCCGAGTCGTGGTAGTTGGGGTCCAGCCCCTTGTCCAGCAGTCGCGCCACCTTGTCAGACGTCCCGAGCTGCACATACTCCAGGAACTTCTTCAACCCTGTCTGAGGTGCCAAGGAGAGAGAGAGAGAGAAGACGGGAGGGTCAGGGCCCAAGGGGAAAGCAGAGATCCGGAACAGCGCCGCCCAGTGGAAATACACAGCCAGCGGCAGATGGCACCGGAAAGTGTCTTTCTTCTTTTTTTAAAACAGGATCTATGCAGCCCAGGCTGGCTGGCTTCAACCTCACGGCAACCAACCCTCCTGCCTCAGCCTCCCAAGGGCTGGGATCACAGGCGTGCACCACCACACTCAGCCTACAGAATGGGAAAATTTCTAGTAGCCACCTCCAAGGAAAAAGGACAAGAAAAGCCATCAAGATGGTGACATTTATTTTGATGATAGATGTTCTTGAACGAATAAATCCATATCACTGTTCCAACAGGTAAGCCAAATGGAAACTATTAGAAAGGCACTTTACTGTTTTTGCACTTAATCTTGGCAACCCCCTGTGCACGTAACCCTCAGCAGGACACATGTGGACGGGAGGAACGAGCACATCAAGGAGAGGAAAGAACGGAAGGCACGGTGTGTGGGACAGGCATGGGTAGGCGGGATTGGGGTTCTTTTCTTCCCGAGTGTCAGGAATCCTCCCCTTCTGGACACAGCAGCCCCTAACTTCCTCCCAGCTTTTAGGTGACCAGGGGAGACACGGGGCACCCCGGCCTGGAGCCAGACGTCTCAGGAGGATCAGGGTGGCTGAGAGGAGGGGCTGACCCTTGCAGTTGGGAGACTGGGCTGTGGACGGGGAACTGCAGGGTGTCTATGAAATAGTCCCTGGGCAGAGCCCTGGGCACCAGAGTTCCAGGCCCAGGGAGGGCAGGAAAGGGGTCCTGAGTGGTGTGGGGGTATCAGGAGAAGAAAAGGGGGAGTCCACGGATCCAGGTGGGCCTGGGCTGAAGACAAGGGGCCAGAGAGGGAAGTAGGAATCATCGGTTACAGTGGGATACAGGGAGCTCCCTATTGTGATGCAGTACCCCAAGTCGAGCAGGGGAAACTGACTGGGCAGCAGAGGACTGGCCCTGTGGGGAGGGGTCCCAGGGGGTCGCTCACCTTCGTGTGCAGCTTGGCCAGCTGCTTCTCGTCCAGGTTGGTCTGTTTGTAAACTCGGGTCTTGTATCGGAACTGAGGCGGGATGCGGGGGTGGGGGGAGAGGTGTGGAGTCAGGAGCTGCGGAGGTCAGGGCTGTCCTGCTCCAGCTCCCCCAGGGCGGGGCCGGGGCTGGGTGGGCAGAGGTGGCGGGGAATTTGCTAAGGACTAGGCGTATGGCCCTGCCTCCATGGAGTTGCATCTGAGCCCGCAGGGAACGTTCTAGAATGCCCGCTGGAACTTCGAGTCCTTCCCCAAGTGATGAGCCAGAGAGGCTTGGGGTGGGGAAGGGACCGGCCAAGGCTACTCAGCTGGTCAAGGAGAGACAAATTGACATGAATTCAGGCCCCGTGAGCACTCTACCATGATTCAGAAGCCATCAGAACGGTCACTGGGGTTTCCTGGCTTGGGTCTGGGCTGGGACAGTCACAGAGTTGGGGCTGTGGGTGTTTGGGGGCCATGCCCTCTCTTGCAGGCAGCAGACGGGCTGGGGAGGCTGTGGCCTCACCTCCAGGTAGGGGACCCCCTTCTCGAAGGACTGGGGGTACTCCCGTAGCAGCCGCTCCTCCTCCAGGAAGTTGGCGTCGCGGCCGGAGGTGGCCGGCTGGAAGAGGCCGTAGTTGAGCACGTCCTGCAGGCTCTCGCTCAGGGCGCAGAGCACCTGCTGCTTGGCTGTCCAGATGGTGGCATCGGGGTTGAAGCGCAGGCATTTCTGCGGGGGAGTGGACAGCAGGGGCCAGGGTGGGTCAGGGGTCCCGGCAAGCGGTGGTGGAGGATGATTGGGGGGCCCGGAGATGGGGTGCATTTGGGGACAGACATGGGGCCTTCCAGGGAGGACACCGGTCTCACAGGCCTCCCCGCCCCAGCCCAGGCTCAGCCCCCTCCTCACGGTCGCTGTCACTCACTGTCTGGTGCAGGTCCGGGATGCCAATCCTGAAGACCATCATGCTGAAGTGGGCGTCGTCAGGGACAGACATGGAGCGGCCCTGGAGGCCTCGGGCCGAGGCCAGGTTACCAGGTGCCCCACTGCCCTGGCCCCGGGTCCCCCGGAGGCCTCGCCCTGGCCCGTCTGGGGAGCTGTCGGACGCTGAGCCCCCCTCGGGACACTCGCTGGCACTGTGGCGTTCCTCGTCCTCGCTTGTCGCGGGGCTGTGGGTCATCGTGGGGCCACGGGGCGGTGGGGGACGGCAGCATCACAGGGAGCTGCAGGGGCCGAGGTCAGCGTCAGACTTCGAGTCAGGGGCTCCGCGGAGGCCACTGGCTCCACTCAGCAGCAGCAGTCAAGGGTGGCCTCGCCCACTGCTCTGGGCAGGCTGGAAGGCGGCGAGCACACCCTCAGGCCTCACCCTCAGGCCCTCCTGCCGCACCAGCACCCCACGCATGCCCACATCTCGAGGTGCTCCCAGCCCCTGTCTCCTTGCCTGCCCTTGGCCCTGTTCGCAGCCCCGCACCCCCCTGCGCCCCACTTTGCTGCTGACCCAACGTGGCCACGTCCCAGAAACCACACAATCACCGCGGGAGCTACTGGCCCACTTTGTCAGGCCACAGAAAAATGCAGCTAAAATTAGCTAAGGACAGACAGGTGGACCTAGCGACCGGCATCCTGCCCTCCTGGCCCGGGCCTGGCCGCTCACCCTGGGGGAGACAAGGCTGAGCTGTAGTAAGGAGGAGACGGAGGTGTGGTGAGCCTAGGGCGGCAGGAGGTGCCCGAGAGCCAGTAGAACCCCGAGACTTCACAGAAGTGTGGTTGCCTAAATGTGCAGAGGGCTGCTGGGGAATCGGCTGCCCCAGGGGAGCCAGGGCCACCGGGTAGGGGGTGGCACAGGGCAGAGCATCTTGCATAGGATGTCCCCGAGGGGCCCAGGAGAAGTGGCCTTGGGCACCCTGAGCCGGAGGCTGGCCTGGGAGCAGTGTCCAAGTGACGGTGGGCTGCTGGCCTTGGTGGGCGGTGGTCGGGCGTGGGAGACCTCGAGTGACCTGTGGGCAGCTCTGGCCAGGCTGCAGGGTGGGTGGCCTGGCATTGCTGGGACTCTGAGGGGCACTGCGGGTGCGGAGGGCGACTGGGGAGCGAGCTAGGAGGTGAGGCAAGGATCTGGGGGCCCACGGTGTAGGGTGGCCTCCAAAGTGCTGCGGTTCTCCCCTATGGGTGCCTCACGGAGCGGGTCCCTTCCAAGTAGGGTCTGTCTCCCCCTTACTCCCCCCTCCTCCCACCCCAGCACCGGAAACCAGAATGTCTGGTCTGGTCCCTCCCCCCCACACCAGGCCCGGCTCCTGCACCGTTGCCATGGAGATGGGAAGCAGTGGAGGGTACTGCTGACTTTGGGGGAGTGGGGATGGCTGGGGGGTTGGGGACGGGAAGACAAAATGCGTGTGGAAGGAGGAGAGTTCCGAGAGCTGCGGGCGAGCAGCCTCTGAGCAGGGGCAGGGACCCCTCCCCCACGCGTGGCCAGGGCTGCCCCTCCCTCCAGGTCGCGGCCACGCCCGCCCCACCCACCTCGTCCCGCCCGAGACCCCTGCCTCCCGGCGACCCCTCATTGTGCAGGGCCATCGGGGGCCGCGGCCACTCCCCCTCGGCTGACCCTGGCTAACCCCCACGCCCCAGCCCTGCAGGAAACGGGTGGCAGGTGGGGAGACGGCGAGGCTGGCCGGGGTCCCCCGCCCCACGCCGTCGGCTGCCCCAGCCCCCAGGACCCGCCGGCCCCTCCCCCTCCGGCCTCGAGGGAGGGAGCGGGCTCACTCCGCCGGGGCGGCATGAATCAAACGCTCCGCGGCTAAGAATAGCTGGCACGCAGCTGGTACCGAGACGGGCTCAGGAATCGGCGGGGGGGGCGTGCAGGGGAGAGAGGGGGTGCCCTGGGAGGCTGCGGGGGGACAGGGGGCGGCTGGCGTGGCCGAAAGCGGGCCCGGGAGAATGAATGGAGGCGGAGAGAGGCGGCGAAGGCGAGGCCGGGCTGGGAAGCCGGGGTTGGGGGAGCCCAGGCCGGAGGGGGCGGGGGCCCCAGCGCGGAACTCGGGGGCGGGAGCCGAGGGGGCGCGCCGGCCGGCGGGGAGGGCACCGCAGCCGTGGCGGGCCTGGGGAGCGGGCCGGGGTGGGGAGGAAGGAGACGCGGGAGCCGGGCAGGTCCAAGGGGACGGAGGAGGCCACGGCCCCGCGCGAGCCGAGGGCTGGGAACCGGGGTGACCTGGGGGAGCCCAGGTGCGCCGGGTGGGCGAGGCGGGGGAGTGGCCGGGCAGGGTCGGGGGCGGGCACCGCGCCGAGCTCGGGGAGCTAAGACGTGGGTTCGGGCCCCGGCTCCGCTCCGCGGGGGGAGGGGGCGGGCTCCCCCCGGGGCTGCTATGTGGGACGGGGCACGGGGGACCCGGGTGTAACCCAGTTTGGTGTCACCTGGAGCAACGCTCCCCACCTCGCCCGCAACCCCCCTCCGCCCCACCCCACCGCACACCCAGGCCCCGAGTCCGCGCGGGCCAAGGACATCCGGGGCGCCCCCGCCCCCCTCCGCCGCCCTGGCCCCGCGGCTCCCCAAGCCCAGTCCCCGGCCCCTTACCTGCCTGGCGGGGCTTCTGAGTCCCGGTCGGCGGCGCCCGCGGCCCCTCCCC